ACAGTTAGTGGCCCCGCATAAACTAGTCATCGCTTCATGGCCTTTTGCAAGGAACATCATATTAATCATTCATTTGGCATCCCACACAACCCTACGGGACAAGCCATCGTGGAACACACTCATGCCACCCTTAAAAATATTTTAATAAAATAAAAAAGGGGGAGTATAGGACCTCCCCCAATTCTCAATTATCTACCATACTTTATATTTAAAATTTTTTGACTATAGATAAAAATAACTTGTCTGCTATGGAGAGACATTGGAACAAACCCTCTCAAACACTGGGATGGGTCAAATGGAAGGACAAAATTACAGGACAAGGCAACCCCCCCCCCCCATTAGCTAGGGTCCAAGGGGCTGTTTGTGTTTTTTCCCCAGGAACAGAGAAACCTATTTGGATACCAGAATGACATGTTCACCCTGTGGATCCTGATCGGGAATCTAGTCCTGCTTTACTGGAACCTCTTGCCCATGGAGGGATGGACGGTTTGGGCCTTGGTGGGGACCCTCCCACCCCCTGTCCTGGTGCCAATTCCCTTTCTTTTCCACCAATCATTCCCTGGGACTACCGGCTGCCAACATGCCCCTGGAAACTTCATTACTGAGTACTTTGACCTTCCTGACACAGGGGAGCCTTTGCTTCCAGAGAGTGCTTAATGTTTCTCAATTGCCCAATGGGTCATTCTCGGTGTCATGCATAGTTTTGAGTAATGCTTCCATTGCTGATTTTCACCCCAATGCCAGTATGAGCAATTGCTTGGGTCCTAGAGATGTCCTATACTCTATAAACTTCAGGCTGGAACAGGGGAATGCTACTACATAGCCCCTTATACTCAGGCCCCTATGCTGGAAGCTCCCTGAAAACTATGACTTGCATAGGCCTTTGCCTTGTGGACACTGTGCACCACAAGAGCCATGGCGATTGAACAGAAAAGGGTCTTTGTGGTGGTTCAGACATTGCCCTCCCCATAAGAATTCCATAGATAACGGGCTCAAGTTCCATTTTAGAAACCCAAATCAAGCAAGAGTGACCCCAACATTCTCAGGGATGTTTCTTTGTGGGCCACGGACCTGTACAGATGCCCGTCCCCTTGTTCTACAATGGGGAACTGGGTTTAACACCACGGCCATTTGAAACCAGTCACAGGCTTTTGAGGACTCCTTGAGGGTTAACACATCTGTTGGGAGAAATTTCTCAGTGGTCAGCCTGGTTTGTGTCTTGCCACCCTTTATGTGGGTGACCTTTAATGGGTCCTTGGGGAGGGAGAATCTCTCAATTGTTCTTCCAGAACCTGCCCCCTGAGCAACTGCTGGTCCCCGACGGACACCAGTGGCCTAGTAATTAGAGTTCCTGCCCTCGCCCCCATGGTGGTGGAAGACCGACATGGGGGAGAAGAGATTATCCTCTACCGCTCAAAAAGGGACTTTGGTATTACTGCTGCCATCATTACTGCCATTACCGTGTCGGCAACTGTTACTGCCATTGCCGTGTCGGCAACTGTTGCTGCCATTGCAGGGCGCCGCCAACTGTCGCTCAGTCCGCCACCAACGCAGAGACTGTTAACCAGCTGGCGGGCAGAGTCAGCGAAGCTCTGGTTATGCAAAATGCCCTGAATGTTCCTATTCAGTTTGGACTCCTTAACTTAAATCAGCAAACTGCCTTACTTCAGGAACGAGTTGGTGTATTGCGGTTGGTGCATCAGGCCTCCTGATCACACTGTCATTCCTCTTGTGTCACCTTGTTTGAAATGCAAATGTCTCTGTAGAGGTCAACCGCATCAATGCATACTTGGCAGGGCCTTGGAATTCTTTTGTAAACTTTACCAATGTTTTGGCTCACCAGATAGTAGAGGTCAATAAGACTCGAATTGCTCCTATTTCAGCAGAGGGCTGGTGGAATGCAATGGCCCAGATCGGAGGTTGGATACAGTGTTGGGGTGGCGCATTGTCTCTAGGGGACTGGTAGCGACAGATCTTTTCACAAAAGGAACAGTTACATAGACAAGTGTTGCTCAGTCTGACCCATGGCTCTCCCAGCAGTCATGAGGTCTGGTTACAGATGCTGCAGAAATGAGGATCACCTATGACAGGCAACTTGTAGGGGAACCTCCTGTCTAAGGCAGGGGTTGCCAGGTCCCCCGGGAATGGGTAAGGGATGGCACACCCTACACAACCTAATCCAGGGATCTCTCATAGAAAATAAAAAAGAGGGAATTAAGGGAATTAAGTCCTTGGCTAAGAATTCACTTCCCCCTGCTGCCCTCAGGTCAGGCAGCTGTAACCGCAGGAAAAGAAAAACATGTTTACTAAGGCAAGAAGTTCCTTTGTTTTCCGCAACCTTGGGATGGGTTCTTAAAAAATGCTCTAACCGGTCCTTGGAACCTGAGATGACTAACTGCCCTCCTCACTTCCTCCTCTTCCATCTGGTGCCGGGGTATAAAAGCCAGCCCCAGAGCAAAATATAAGAAGAGCCAAGAGTCCTGTGTTGTTAATCCTGACACCCTCTGCAGATTCTCATACAGAGGCCGTGCAGGTGCGGCACCACCTAAAGAGCTATGAGTCAAGCTGCCTGGATTGGGAGAGCTCTGTGTAGTTTACTGTATATGTAACTTGGATGTAAAACTCCATAATCTAGCCAGGTGATAGTGGCACATGCTCCCAGCACTCTGGAGCCAGAGGCGGGAAGATTGCTGAGTTCAAGGCCAGCCTGATCTACAAATTCAGCTCCAGAAGAGCTAGCACTGAGTCTCAGGATTACCTAACTCTCACTGTCCTTATAGCATTTTTTGGTTGCTGGACAGGGACAGAGAGCATCCAGAGGCATCCTTGGGATCAGGAACCTGCTGGTGTTCATCTGTCTATGTTGTAAGGTATTTCTCCCTGAATAAACATCTATCCAGCCTATCTCCTGATCCTTATTAAACCACGATACATGATACCATGTTCCCCTTTTTGGTTAAGGTTTGTAAGAGTGGCATTTCAGCATTAACTAAATCTGCCTTCCTGATTTTATTCTGTGTTTCTGTCTTTTCTTTATCGTCTATAGCTAGCCTTTCCCTCATCCTCACACCCCGCACTCAGGTACGAACTTGGGGCTGGTTCCGATTGCAGCCCCATAAAGATAGCTTCTGACGAGAAAGGGAGCAAAGGGAGGGGTAGGTATTGGCCAACCAGGAACAGAGATGGAAGGGGGGAAGAGGAAGGGGAAAGAAAGGGGCTAAATGGTGGGAAGGTGCTCACTTAAAAACAGGGCCCTTTGAACTGTCTTGAGTATCTGCCTGAATGGCCGTATGCATATCCTGCCAATTGTTGGTGGTGGGTTCAGCATAATGCCTGAATCCTTACAATGAGGACAGTATTTGGGAGTTGGTTTGGCCTACCACCTTTTGAGGCAGGGTCTCCCTTGTCTGTTTCTTGCTGTGCACTCCAGGCTGCTGGCTTACAGGCTTCTAAGTCACCCTCCTGTCTTCACCTCCTATGTTGCTTTGATTGCAGATGTTTGCTACCCCATGCAGCATTTTTTTTTTTTTTAACTTGGATTCTGGATCAAACTTGGGTCACAAGGCTTGCATGGCACCTGCTCTCATGTGAGGAGCCATCTTATTGACCCACACTCTCAACTGCTGTGCGTCAGCTTTCATTTACTCCAGGACAAAGGCCTTTGACACTCACGAGTTTAAAAAAAATAATTTATTAATAAATGATAGCAGATCATTCTGTGCCTTCGGCGTCGTCACCTGCTTCGCTCTCTGTTGCTTCAGTGACCGACGTTTTCACGATCTGTGCCACCACCACTTCTCCCTTGACCTCCCTGGAAGAAGAGCAATGTCAAGGCTTTCAAACCCTGAAATGGAGCGAGTTGCCCTTAGCTCCTCATTTGAGCCAGATGTTTACCCTGGTACATCCTTATTGAAGATCTCCTCCTCGCCAGAGGACTCCTTGTCCTGTAGATCCTGAGCCATGTTTTTCTTACGTGTATCATGAAGAGGCCTGTACATATCTCTAAGCCATAGTGGCCACCTTAGCCAGAAAAACCCTTCCTAGGAAACAGAAAGGGAGACATTAGATATGTTAATCTCCGCCTTCTGCAGCCAAAACACTGAGTCTCAGGCTTACCTGATTCTCACTGTCCTTGTAGCATTTCTTACCCCTTGGAATAAAACACAAGCAGAAAATAGTTAGTGATTGTGTCATTTTTTTTTTTTTGAGTGTCTCTCTGGGGAACATCTTGGCTCTCCTCATAACAAAAATCACCCCAGCACTGGGACTTGAGAACAATTCCATGCATGTTTGGCTTCTAGGAACTTTCCAAGTCTATTCTAAGGCCTCACAATGCCCTTGGGGAGATCTTTGTATGTGGCTTGTCCTAGAGGATAGCCAAAGTGCCAGCATGACAAAAATCCCACTTATTCCATTGAGCAGACTTATTCCTTAGAAGAAGCCACCCTGAGCAGGAGCATTCTGCTGTCCTTCAGAACAAATTTCACATGCAGACTTGCTGAGGTGAGGAGAGGCCTCTCCTGCTTGTCTAGCTGCTTCATCCTCCAAGTGCAACAATGCCCAAGTCCACAGCACAGCTCACAGACTCACGGATTTCACCCTGCAGACTCCTCTGATGAGTGAGTTGTGAGATTTAAAAAAAATGATTTATTTTTATGTGCATTTGTGTTTTGCCTGCATGTATGCCACATGTTAGATGGCGGAGTTACAGGCAGTGTAAGCTGCCATATGGGTGCTGGGAATTGAACCTGGATCCTTCAAAAGAGCAGTCAATGCTCTTAACCACTGAGCCATTTCTCCAGCCCCAAGTTGTGAGATATTTGAAGGGCTTGACTGGCTAGGCATGGTGGATCATACCTATGATTCCTGTACTTGGGAGGCTGAAACAAGAGTTTGAGGCCAGCCTCGGGTACATAGTGAGGTCCTGAAGCTACCAACAGCAGAACAGGCACAGCCTAATCTTCTTTCCTTAAGGAAGTGGGGACACTTGGAGGCCCCTTGCTAGGCCTGGGTACACATGCCTCTTTGGGGAACCAGGCAAGACATTAGGGGAAATACCATTCTTCCTGAGTTTCCCCAATGAGGCCCAAGCTCTCTGCTATCTCTCAGGTTCTCCTGGAAGGATTGCTAATCTTGTATTTACCCTGCGGACTTTTCTTCATCTCCCTCTCTTGCTGCTCTGTGAGAATAAACCTGTTTTGGAAGAAAACACAATCATGATTATCACAGTGGCTTCTGTTTTCAATCTATATCAAATCCTTTTACTTAGTTGACATCTACCTGCTATTCTTCTCTTCTGTAACACCCTAGGGTCCCCCAAGTAGCTGGCACTTAATACTGTGTATTGACTCTTTTACATAAGATTCAACAAGTCCTAATAACAACTCTTAAAAGTCAAAGAAAGAAGTATCTTTAACTTTATCAAAGTATCTACCACCAGAAGAGCATTAGCAGTACCTCTTACCACAGCTACAAAGCATTTGTCTCTTGGTGAGGTCCTGAAATGTGACAAGGAATATAGATATGGTACTGAGGAGAAGGAACACAACTATTACTGTTAGTATCTGAAATAACGAACCAAAAAGTCCAAGACAATCAACTAACACTTGATTAGAATAAGAGCACCCAATACTAATCACAAAGTAAAAGAGATCAGGATACCAAGCCCAGTGGATTTCTCATCAATCTCCAATACAAACCAAGCAAGTTCCTACTTATGATAGTAATGGAGATAGTGTTTCAGAATAAATGTAACTTAGAATGAGCAAATTTTCTGATTAAAACTCGGCAATTCTTCTGGAGAACATTAAGAGAAATGACAAGCCAGTCTAGGCCACAGAGTGAATTTCTGTCTAAAAACAAAAACCAGACTAAAACAACAGCAAAAGCTTAGGGATTTATCTCAGTGATAGAGTGCAAGGCCTGGGTTTAATACCAAAGAGAAGAGGGAGGAGGAGGTGGCAATAACAATGACAGCTATAAGGCATGCTGTGAAGGCATCAGTTGTCACGTAAAGTAGAATTGTAAATGCCATGCCATTTTATTAAATGCCCTTCCTCTACAATGAGATTAATTACTACCTTAAATGCCATCCTAGATACTTCACCCAGTAGCTGATGGAAGCAGAAGCAGACACCCACAGCAAAGCACTGAGCCCTACTCATGGAATCCAGGTGCAGTGAGGGAGGAATGATGAGTAAAGGGGTCAAGATCATGCTGGGGAAATACACAGAAACAGCTGACCTGAGCAAATGGGAGCTCACAGACCCCAGTTTGACAGCTAGAACCAGCATTGGACTGACCCAGGCCCCCCGAATGTGGGTGCCAGTTGGAAGGCCAGAGCAGTCTATGGGACCTCTGGCAGTGGAACCAGTATTTATCCCTAATGCACGAATGGATTTTGGGAGCCCATTCCCTATAGACGGATACTCTCTCAGACTAGATACACAGGGGAGGGCCTAGGCCTTGCCCCAAATGAAATGACAGACTTTGGTGATCCCCCAGGGGAGGCCTCACCATCCCTGGGTAGTGGATAGGGGATGGGATGGAGAGGGAACTGGGATTGGTATATATAAAATAAGATTGTTTTTAATTTAAATATATATATATATATATATATATATATATATATATATATATATATTTGAAAAAATATAAATAAGAGGCCGGAGAGATGGCTCAGAAGTTAAGAGCACTGACTGACCTTCCAGAAGACCTGTGGAATATTCCTATACATTGTGTGATTATATGTGGATGTAATTTGTTTAATAAAGAAGCTGACTGGCCAGTAGCTGAACAGAATAAAGTTAGGTATGGGAACCAAACTGAGAATGTGGGGAGGAGAAGGGTAGAGTTAGAGGAGTCAACAGCAGAAGCAGAGAGGAGCAAGATGGACATGCCACACTGAAAAAAAGGTACAAAGCCACATGGCAAAGGATAGGTAAGAAATATAGATTAATTTAAATGCAAAGAGTTAGCTAGTAAGGCTGAGCTATTAATAGCTGAGCATTTGTAATTAATATTAAGTCTCCATGTTGGTTATTGGGAACTGGTGGGAAGGAAAGAAACATCTGTCAACAAATGGTGCCCAATGTGAGGCATGACTTTCATATAAAACCCGAGAGAGCCTAGAAAAGGCCACCAGAGTGGCCAGCCATGGTACAGGGCTGAGTGTCCTGCCTGTGGACTTGAGCAGCCAGTGTACCATGAGTCAAGCTGTGTGGGGCATTCCTGCAGTCTCTCATACCAATCACAGTAAAGAAAAGCATCTTCTGACAGCTTCCTGAGGCAGAGGACACTCTGCTTAGCAGTCTAAAGGCTCATGTGGTCAAAAAAGATTATAGATATGCAATAAAGATAGATTCAGATTCAGATGGTTTAATAAAGAATCTGACCAGCCAATAGCTGAACAGGTTAGGCAGGAGAGCCGAACTGAGATCGTGGGGAGAAAGGCAGAGTTGGTAGAGTCAGAGGAGTCAACAGCAGAAGCAGAGAGAAGCAACATGAGCATGCCATACTGAGAAAAGGTCCCAAACCAATGGCAAAGGATAGATAAGAAATACAGGTTAAGGGCTGTAGAGATGGCTCAGAGGTTAAGAGCACTGACTGCTCTTCCAACGGTCCTGGGTTTAATTCCCAGCAACCACATGGTGGCTCACAACCATCTGTAATGAGATCTGATGTCCTCTTCTGGCCGGCTGGCATACATGCAGACAGAGCACTGTATACATAATAATTAAATAAATAAATAAATAAATACATCTTTAAAAAAGAAATATAGGTTAATTTAAATGTAAGAATTAGTAGTAACAAGCCTGAGCTATTGGCTAAGCATTTGTAATTACCATTAAGTCTCTATGTTGGTTATTTGGAAACTGGTGGGTGGAAAAGAAACATCTGCCAACAACAACCTAGGTTCAATTACAAACACCCACATGGTGGCTCACAACTGTCTGTAACTCCAGTTTCAGAGGATGCAATAATCTCTTTTGGCTTCCATAGGCACCAGGTACAAACATGGTGTACAGACATACACAAAGCAAGAAGATGACAAGTTGAAGGCCAGCTTCAGGCACATAGTGAATTCCAGGCCATTCTAGCTACAGGAAGCCCTGTCTAAAGCCCCTTCACTCCTGGGGTGGAGTGAAATGACAACATAATGCTAGGAAAGTGCTAGAAAGTAGTAGCAGAAGTGCCTGGATTCCCTGAGGTGACAAAGTCTCTATAACAAAGCATAACTCATGCACAAGGAGGAACAGGCTGGTAGATGAGTGGCTTTGGCTACAGACACTTTCTTTTCCCACTGGTTTATTTTTCCATGAAATAGATTAACACTTTGGGTGGTTTGCAATGGTTTCCTTGTTCTCTCACACTCCCAATAGTTCCTGATTGTCTCTAAGCAGGGGAAACTGAGCAGTGATGTGAAGGGTCAGTGAAGGGGTAGGGCTAGGGGGACCTGGAGCTTTACTCTTGGATTGGTCACATACATTTCTCTTTCATTCTAGGAGAGGCTTGAGAAGATCTTTCCCGAAGGAGTCAATGATTAGATCAGACAATGAATGGAGAACTCTGTCCTGTGCTCAGCAGGCACAAGTGCTAATATTCCTAAGGCTGCTAAAGGCTTCTTTCTGTCTATGGAGCTGGGACTAGACAGCTCTTTTCCCGATGGGGATATATTCTATACATATGTTTCTCTTATTGGTTGATGAATAAAGCACTGTGGCCAATGAGGCAGGATGATAGGTGGGACTAGGAGACAAGGAGGATTTGGGAAGTGTAGGCAGATAGCAGTCGAGATGTAGGACATCTGGGTAAGCCACAGCCTCATGGCAATACATAGACTGATAAATATGGGTTAATAATTAAGACAGAGTTAGCCAATAAGAAGCCCTAGCCATTGTCCAACAGCTTTATAACTAATAGGGTCTCTCTGTGTTATTTTGGGACTGATGAAGCTCTGGGACCAGGCTGGTGGGAATGAGTGCTCATAACACTCTTCCACCACACACTTATTTGTAAATTTACTTCTGTTTTCTCTATCATCAGTTCTTTAAGGTAAAGAGTTATAGTAAGCTTTCATTACTTGGCCACAAAATAGTTAGGTTCTATTATCATTTATTCATTTTTCACCACTGACTAAACTATTACAGGGTCACATTTCAAAGGTTTTAGTGTCTAGGAAAGTAGATCATGCTTAGTGTGCACAGGCCATAGCTAAATCCTCAGACTTCAGTCCCTGCATTCAAATGACTGGAGCATTGGTTTGTCCATTGCTTTTCTGTCTGTTATTATTTAATCTGTATTTTTTTTAGACAGCATTTCTTATATTCCTGGCCTGAGTTCCCTAAATTGCTAAGGATGACTGTGAACTCTGGGTCACCCTGCTTTTGTTTCCCAAGATCTCGAGTTGCAGAAGCTTGCAAACATCTTTCTCTGCTGCTATTTTAAGTAAGTACTGGATTGTGTTATTCCCCCCCATTAGCAGAACTAATGGGATGCTTCACTTCTATTCTTTGAACACCACTGCTATCTATCACAGGCAAAACACCAGGCATGCTTACTGTTCTTACAGAGCCCATCATCTAAACTGGCAGAAGAAATAATGAAAATGTGAATAAAGGCAAGCACAGGGTGAATTGTAGACACAACTAAAGAGCAATATAGGACTTTACAGATAATTCCTGGGAGGTTACAACCACAGTAGGTGTGCAGGTGCTGTCTATGCAGTAGCCAGAGGACATCCTCCCAGGGGGTTTGTGAACTGATCCCATGTTGATCTCTGCCTTCTAGGCTCAAAATTCTGTCATCGTCATTGACGGAGAACTTCCCACTGCTCTCACAGCATCTCACACCAACACCACCCCACCCATCATCCTACACCAAATCAGAATGTTACATAAGGGCCTGACATTGAGGAGTCCTGCTTCACAGACAGAATACCTGTGAACACACGGGGACATTACTTGTAGACAGAGATGGTAAGTGGCTCAGGTTTTCAGTTCCCAGGTTCTAAATCTATTACACAGACTGTATATTCTGGACACATAAATGTATTATCCTTACCTCAATGAGACAGAAAATGATAATCAAAACTGTCACTACTACAGTTACAGATATTGCCAAGATGACTTTGTTGTTGTAGCCGTATCCTGGAACTTCTTTTGTGAGCTAAAGAGTACAAAATAAGTGAATAAGTAGATATTATTGTTGTCAAATAATAAAGTAAAAAGAATGAAAGAAGGTGAAGAATAGTTGTTTGAAATTCATTCTTGATCTGTGCATGGTAACATATATTCTAGCAACTTGGAAGTTAAGATAGGAGAACTGCCATGAGTTTGACACCAACTTAGGCTACATAGTGAGCAGGTCATTTTGAACTATGTAGTGAGATTCTAACTCAAAGAACCAAGGTCTGGGATGAACAACTGTGGCTGAACCCTTTGCTTAGCTTCTACTAGGTGCTGGGTTTGATCTACACTGAAGAAAAGGATATGAAGAAAAAAAAAAAAAACCCTAAAAACATTCTTCCAGGTGAGTAGCTTTCATACTTATAAAAGATCATAGTGGATCCAATGTGTTACATGCTTTATTAGTGTACATTTCCTGTGTTTTAGGTCTGCTACGTTCTCTAAACTTAGAAACACAGTGGAAGCTAGGTGTGGTAGCAAACATATTTAATCCCAGTACTGGGAAGCAGAGGCAGGCGAATCTCTGCAAGTTCCAGGCCAGCCTGGTTTGCTTGGGAATTTCAGGAATCCAAGGCTACACAGGGAGACTCTGTCTCAAAAACAAAACAACACAACAATACACATAAACACAGTGGGGATCACTGTCTTGGCTGGGCTAGAGTTATGTAGCCAGTACAAAATCTAGAGTGGGAGCTCCTGGTCTTTCTGCTTAAATGACTGAGAAGGCGGGGCCCCCACATTGGGGCACTGTCCTCACCTGACTTGGTTCCAGACCCTTCTGTTCACCTTGGGCTTCTGTGCTCTCATTGATGTAGTTCTCAGTTCTCCACTGGTCTGTATCCCAGTCGGTCCTGGACAACTTGAATTCTTGTTGCTCACTGAGAAGCTTCATCAGGAGGCCTGTTCTGGAGATGAGCTTGGCACAGGACAGTTGCACATGGGGATCAGAGCAGTCCATCTTCAAAGTCCTGATAACGTGAGAAATAAGCCTTCTCACGTTGTTGTTGGGGATGAGGGGCCGCAGCTGCTGGTTTAGATGAGATTCAAAGTGTTCACCCGGTGACATCAGCAATGGGTAAGTAAGTTCTTTGAAATGGTCATGTGAGTGAGATTCCAAGTCGAAGTCTAAATGTGGATCCCTGGTTTGATGAAGAGTTGGAATTAAATCTGATGGAAGTACATTAGACTCTACATGAAGATTCTCAGGGGGTGTATTCTCTGATGCAGTTTCTTCAGGTACAATCATAGTTGGTTTGAGGAGGTTTTCTTCACTGTTATCTGTTGTAGCCTGGTTTTCTTCAAGAGGTTTTTCTGTAGAAAGTTCTGAAGCATCATATAATTCTGAAAAAGGTTTTTCTGAAAAACTCAGGTCTCTTGAAGATGAAAAGACCCCTCGTGCAGGGGAATTTACCAGGTTCCTTACTGCAGAGGATGCTGGATTCTTTGCAATCAACTGGAAATGAGATTTTTTCTTCCTAAGGTTTCCATGTCTCTTTTCAGGCTGTAAACTAGGGTTAGACTCCTTCATTTTTTTCACATTGGCATTTGCACTTTCCAAAACATAAATGGTGTAGGACAAGTCTTTTCGTCTGTCTATGAACTCGGGTAGCGAATCTGTAGTGGGAGATTTGTCCACCAGGGCCGGTTCTGGGGAAGAAGACACTGCCTCCCTGGGCTCCTTTGGGAGCACCAGCTCTGAGTGGAAGGAATTTCCCACTAACTTCCTGGGCTTCTGCACCAGACTGAGCTGCTGCAGCTCCGCTGTGGGTGGGCTCCCGAGCTGCCCATCTATGGTGATGTTCTCCACAGGTGTCTGGACGCTCTGCTTACTCCACAGGCTCTTGTCATGCACGTCAAGGAAGTGCCTTTTCTGTATGCTTCCTGTCCCCTTGAGCACTCTGTCCATCCTGTGGAGCCTTTTCTCTGCCCTCTCAATCTCTGCAAGACTGTTTTCCTCTCCATGGGCAGGTTCCCATCTCTTTTCAAATATTCGCCATTTAAATTTGGGACTCAGGCGGCTAGACCCCTGCATAAGCATGGCAGTCTTCTCTTTCTTCCTAACCTCATCAATTTCTGCATCTAACAAATTCTCTAGAAAATAAAGCTTATTCAGTTTATTTTTGTAAGCCAACTTCTTCGACTTTGGTGCAGGATTAAGAGAAATGTTCCTTGAATCATTTTTGTAGGATCCCAGTGAATTATCTGCATTTTGTATATTAGAAAACAGCAGTTTAATGAATGGTAACAATGTTGATACTACATCTTCCAGATTTCCCTCTGAGAAATATGGCAGTATGTAATTTAGGGCACTAATAACATCACTTTCATCGTTAAAGTCGAGTTGTTCATTCATGAAGCCTGAAGAGCTAAGATCATCTTTTTCTGAATAGCTCTTTTCCTGTTCAATAGTAAGCTCAGTGCTGGTGTTCTCCTTCCGGGCCTGCAACACCTTCATGAATGCTCCTTCTGGGTCCCCTATAGATGCTTCAACTGTCAAAGATGAAGAGATTGTTTTGGGTCAGAGAATTCTGGCAGCCCTTCCCCAGTCCACAGCCATTCAACTCTACCAAATAAGTTAGGGGCTAGCAAATACTGGATAGAGTACCCATTAGTGGAGAGAAAAACCAACCCAAATTTAAACCCATGAAATGTCAATGACAACTAGAGAAGACAGTGCCCACTAAGTGGCTGCTTAGAACAATCTACAGCATGCACACAGGGTATCTGTGGAGAGCTACACATGTTCAGTCCTCAGTACAAGCTCATGGCTGGAATACAGGGTCTCACTAAGTTGGCCCTATGGCCTTGGAATAGGTTCCTGATGGGGGATATTCTCCTGTATATATGTTTATCTTATTGGTTGCTGAATAAAACACTGTTTGGTCAATAGCCAGAATAACCAGGCTGGAAGATATCAGGGCTCTGAGAGGGAGGAGGAAGGCAGAGAGGAGCTGCCATGGTGCTGAAGGAGTAACTTGCTGGGGCATTACCTGGTAAGCCACAGCCTCACTGCAATACATAGAGATTAGTAGAAGCTGGATAAATGATTAAGAGAGAGCTAGCCAGTAAGAAGCCCCAGCCATTGGCCAACAGTTTAATAATATGTCTTTGTGTGCTTATTTGGTGCTGAAGCAGCTGTGGGAACTGCCGGGGCAGAAAACCTCCCTGTTCAGGTTCTGTTGCCTCAGCCCTCCTGAATAGGTGGCATTGCCATCATTTGCCACCACACTCAACTTAGAAAAACACTTTAAAAATCATATGATACCAGACATATGATTTGATCCTGGCAAAAAAAATTCCAGTGACAGTCAGATCTTATGAGTTCAAGGCCAGCCTGGAATATCCAGCAAGTCCTAGGCCAGCCAAGCCTACACAATGGGACATTGCCTCAAAAAACAAAAAAATTAATTAAAATCATATAAGTGGATAGAAGAACTTGAGGCTGAGCACAAATACAGAGCTGGCCAATCTAGGCGTGTTCCATCAGGAGAGACAGGTACACTCACTGCTTCTAGAATCAGAAGCTCTTGGATTCTAAATAAAAGGGCATCACAGTGTTAAAAACTCTACAAAAGAGAAGCACCTTCCCTATAGGTCAGGAGTGCTTGAGACCATACACATATAGCCAGCTTTGGATGGCAGTGCCATATGCAAGTGACCACTGAAACGAGGTCCCAACCACAGTGTATATAGTTCACAGAGTGTGAACACTTATGTTACCCCTCCTGTTTCACTCCGTTTCTTACTCTTGTGTATGGAACAGCTTTTATATGTATATACTTTTGTTTTTTTCAAGACAGTATTAATAGACTAAATATTGTTAACTATAGTTCTTACTTGATAACTGTTTTGTTATATATAATTTTACTATGTTAAAGTTAAAACCCTTCTTTTTATTTAGACAGAAAAGGGGAGACGATGGGGGAAGTCCTTCTGTATATATGTTTCTCTTATTGGTTGATGAATAAAACACTATTTGGCAACAGTTAGTTAGGGAGATCATGAAGAGTTGCCATGTAGAGACGGGGAGGATAGGATGCACCAGGCGTTCTCTGGTAAGATAAGGCCATGTAGAAATGCATAGATTAGTAGTTATGGGTTAATAATTAAGACAGAGTAGCCAATAAGAAGCTCTAGCCATCAGCCAACAGTTTAATAATTAATATAGTGTCTCAGTGTGTTCATTTGGGGCTGAAGCAGTGGGACCTGGTGGGACAAGAAAATCCAGCAACAAGATAGGGTCTTACTGTGTGGCCCTGGCTTTCCTGGAACTCACTTTGAGAACCAGAGATCTCCCTGCCTCTGCTTCCCCAATGCTGAGATTAAAGGTGTGTGCACCACAGTCACCATCATCATCACCACTTGGCTAATACATATATACCTTTAAAGGATTCATTTTATGTGTATGAGTGTTTTGCCTGCATTTATGTATATGTGCCTCATGTGTTCCTAGCCTGCAGAGGTCATAAACAGGCATAAACTGGAGTTATGAATGATTGTGAGCTACCATTTTGGTGCTGGAAACCGAACCCTGGTGCTCTGCAAGAGCAGAAAGTACTTTAAACCATTAAATGAACTCTATAGCTTCGTGTGTGTGTGTTTATATACATACATATTTTGTGTCTGTATGTGCATGATGCAAATGGGTACATGTGTGATGGTTTGAGTATGGAGGTCAGAGGGCAACTTTGTGAAGTTTGTTTTTTTCTTCCACCTTAATGGGAGTTCCAGGGATTGATTTAGAACACCAGATATCTGTGGCAAAGCATCTTGACCCTTAAAGCTATCTCTCTGGCCCACAGAGCAGTCATATATATAATAATGCAATAATAGCTGAGAGCCCAGTTTTCACAAGAAATACAGAAGTGTAGGGAGTTTTATTATATATTAATAATATATGAGTGATAGACAATTATTAGTATAAATTTTAGGAACATGACAGAAGGGGGTGTGGTGGTAGAAAGATTATAAGAGCCAGAGGACCAGTAAGTCAGCTGTGAGATTTTGTCATCTATGAATGACAGGTAAGTTGTACTCATGATACCTCAAAAATATGGTTGCCTACATAAAACTGGAACAAGGACAACACTACCAGACACATTAAAGGGAAAATATCATGAGGTCCCACTCCTAGACAAAGAGCTACAGTCAATTGATGGCTGCTGAGAAGAAGAATTAGTCTGTCCCAGGGATGAGCCTCCTAAATGGTTATCCAATAAAAGTGGTCAGCCATCAATCATACACACACTAGCAACACCAAGAAGACTCAGCAGGGCTTATTATATATTTATGTGTTTATATCTCTGTCTATGCAGCAATAATAATCAAAAAGAGACAATCTGAGAGGGAATGAGGGGGAATAGTGGAGAAATTGGAAGGAGGAAAAGGAAGGCAGGAAGGGGAGTGAAATAATTATTTTTAATTAAAATAAAAATAATTAAAAATTATCTTTACCAGTTAAAAATCATATGTCAAAATTAAAACATTTATCATTAGGCAAGAGACTCACGACAATGTGTGGTGTTTGTCAGACATCCAGCATGACAACGCAGTTTGATTGTCTTGCAGACAACCTCAATATCACTTTTATATTTGCAGAGGCAGCAGGTCATGTGGCTAGGTAAGATTCTATAAATGGAAAGACAGAGAACTGGCTTACTGGGAAAGCCTTACTGAGGTGCAGAAAAGGCAGGTCAAGGCCACCACAGGGTTGTAGAGGAAGGAGTTCTTGAGGCACATGGCATGGGCAGTTGGGTGGGGACTCAATAGTAAATTACTGCTCTCTGATATTGAAAGTAATCATGAAGGAGGACAGAAGTGCTCAAAGAAGGGTAAGTGTCAGGGTGGGTTTGTGCCTAAAACAAAGGTGACAGGAACAGAAATAGGTGACACGGACTGTAGAAGCCTCTCTCCTTAGCTCAAGTCTCACTCTGGGTTGGTTATGCACAAGAAGGGCCTGAGCCAACTTCCAATCTAGGGATACTTTATTCCTGATGTGGATGGGAAATCCTAGAAATCATCTCAAACCTAAAACAGCCTAGTTTAAACTATATTGTGTAGTTAAATAGCATTAGTGCTCATAGTGACCAAGGCTGCATAATCTGTGCTGTTGACAGAAAGGACTGGGGATGCAGGTCTTTGGTATAGTGCTCCTGTATCAGTGAGAGGTCCTGGGCTTGATCTTAGAATATCTCTCCCGCCCCCCCCTACACACACACACACACACACACACACACACACACACACACACACATACACACACACACTACAGGCCACAGTAAAGTACAACATAAGTGTAAAGAGAATCCATGAGTTGATAATGGTAGTCAAAAACAAAAGCAGGGTAATTCTGCAGCAGAACACCAGCTAATAAATGTGCCAGTTTCAACCACCAAGTAAAAAAACTGCTTCATACAAGATGCTGAGGGACGATGTATGCTGCAGTAGCAGCGAGGGCCCGTTCGGAAAATCTCTCTCCTTCTGGTCAAGAGGTCAGAACTCAGATCTGAAGTGTTGGTAACATCATTCCAGTTGGGCAAGTCAACCACCTGTCTGAGGGATCACCCCTCAAGAGGGTGGAACCACCCCACAAGAGGGGGAGATCTAACATAAGCCACGCTAATGAGACAAGAATAATTTTCCCTTCAGTGAGACAATCTATTTTCCTTTCCAGAATCCCTGGCCTCTCTGCAGTTGCTGCGGAGCCACCATGCCCTTCTGAGTCCTGAAAGGTGCCATTTTCACTTTCCTCCTTTTCTAGTTCATTCTTCTAGATGTTGACCACAGCCTGATGTGTGCTTTTTCTAGTTCTTGGGCCTTTGTACCCTCCCTCCTCCCCTCGAAGCCTTCTGCTCGCCTTTGCTCTGTGGCTGACTGGCATGGCCCTCCCTCTTCTTCCCGTCTGATACCTCTAGGCAGATGCTGAGCCTGAAACTTGCTTGCTCTGTTTGTTAACTCTAATTGGCCTCAAGTTCCCTTTTGAGTCAGTTCCTAACCCTGGTTTCCCTGGTAACGTGTGGTATCTCTAGTGGGCCTTCCACAAATTCCCACAGATTACTAAGTACCACCCATGAAACAAACTTGAAGAACTTCCACCCACCTTTGGGTGATCAGACTTGACATGATAGGCTACCTGAAATCCCAGTCAGGGAGGCAGTGCCATACGTTTGACCTGAGCTATTCCCGAGGAAACAAAGTCAGATTGAAATGCCAGTGTGTAAAACGAACATCAGTGAGAAGCCAGATTGGATGATCACAAGTTCAAGGCAACCTAGGCTACAGAAGGAGACCCTGCCTCAGACAGAACAAAACAAAAACTCAACAAGAACACAGACATCTCATTCAATGTGGGCATTAACTTAAAGTAAGCATGCATGGTAAAAGGTTGTTTGCATGTGACTAGACATTATAGAACACATGCTAGCAAAGAGTTAAGATGACAAGGACCCAGAGCCCACTTTAGATGAGCTAGCAGAAAGGCAAAGTTGTTTTGCATGCCAGACTGGCCAGGAACTGCCAGCATAGTTGAAGATGATCTTGACTTGGAAGGACAAGTATTCACCACAATGCTGGTTTGTATCAAACCCAGGGCATCATGCATGCCGGGTAAACACTCTACCCACTGAGCTACACTTCCAATCCAGATGAACACCTTTTAAAGACATTGCTTTCTCATTCAGTACTGGTGAGATATGCTAAAGACCACAGTCAGTGAGAAAAGATAGATCCAACAGCCACACACTATGGGATGTCAATTCTGAGTTGTTCTGGAGAAGGAAGACTATAGGGCTAGAAATAGGACTGGTGGATTACAGAGGCTACCAGTGGGAGGGGTGCAAAGGTTCAGGAGGGGCCCTTAGGAGGGGACAAACGCCTATATCAGTGATGCAATAGTGGTAGGAAACTGTGAAATCTCATTAAACCATGCACTTCAGTTAACTGCATGAAAATTATCTCAATATCTCAGACTCAAGAAATAAAGAAAAACTCAAAAACATTTAAAATACAAGAAAGCACAAAGAAATCCAGGGCTGGCAAGATGGCTCAGCAGAAAGTCCACAGCCACACAATAAGTTTGATCCCTGCACCCCACGGTGTAAGACGAGAGCCACCCTTGTAAAGCTGTCCTCTGACCTCCATATTCACATTGTGGTACTCATGCCTGCAACAGGTACACGCGCAAACACGCACACACGCACGCACACATACAGGCATGTGAGTGTGTGTGCACACGCACACGTGCACGCAGAGGCATTATTAACATTTTAAAATCTAAGTGAAATTATTCTGAGAAAATAAACCTTACAGATGCTCCAGTTCCAGAGTCATCATGAGAATGTTCTCAAGCGTCGTCAGTGGTACTTGTGTTGTTCCCAGGTCTCTGGAGGAGAAAGCCAGATTTTATGAGGAAACATTTTCATTACAAGTGGTTACTTAAACTCCAGCTTTCCTAAACAATATTTGTCTCAGGAATCCATTGTTGGGGTTGAGGATGGCTCAGAGGTTAAGAGCACTGACTGCTCTTCCAGAAGTCCTGAGTTCAATTCCCAGCAACCACATGGTGGCTCACAACTGTCTATAATGAGATCTGGTGCCCTCTTCTGGCCTGCAGGTGTACATGCAGAGAGAACACTGTATACATAATAAATAAATACATCTCTGGAAAAAAAAAAAGAAATTAAGTTTACAATTTAACAAACTTGTCCCTTTTTTTGGTCATTATCTTACTTCTCATTTTGATATTGCATTCACCCTACAACTACCACTCTATATTTTATTTTTCACTTTAATTTCTAAACATTTAATTCCCATTTATTTAAAGTTCTGTCAGTCTATATATTAAAAACACAGGAAACTGGGTATTTTAATTTTTGAGACAGGGGCTCTCTTTGTAGCTCTGGTTGGCCTAGAACTTACTATGTAGACCAGGCTGACCTTAAACTTACAGCAACCTGCCTGCTTCTGCCTCCCAAGTCCTGGGACTACAGGCATGCACCATCACACAGAGCTTCCTTTTAATTTATTTTTACAAAAATATTTACTTTTATTTATGTGTATGTGTGTGTTCAGGTGCCTGTTGAGCCCAGAAGGCAACACAGATACCCTGGAACGCGTTCCAGGTGGTTGCAAGCAACTTGATATGTGCTGAGAACTGAACTGGGATTCTCTACAAGAACAGTAAGTCCTCTTAATCATTGAGTCATCTCTCCAAAACCCTTTTCTTAGTTAAAAAAAAAAACCACTGGTGTGTGTGTGTGTGTGTGTGTGTGTGTGTGTATGAGAAATATTTTAATTTAAAAAATAGAGTGGATCTTGGGGGGCTAGAGAGATGGCTACAGTAATCAAGTGGTACATGCCCTCGTGGAGGGATTCAGAGGTGGGCTTGCAGAGCCGGATGCAGGTGTGCCCCTGAGTCTGCCTTGAGCATCACATCAAGGAGGCACTACAGGTCTGCTTCATCAGATGCTGTGACTCTCCACACACAAAGAAAGCAACACAGAGGGCTGGAGAGATGGCTTAGCGATTAAGGGCACTGACTGCTCTTCCAGAGGTTCTGAGTCCAATTCCTAGCAACCACATGGTGGCTCACAATCATCTATAGTGAGATCTGGCAGACATGCAGGCAAAATAACATAAATGTAATAAATCTTAAAAAAATAGAGTGGATCTGGGGGAGAGGGAAAGTAGGCAGTAGAGACTTGAGAGGGGGTAGGAATGGGAAACTGGGGTTGGGATGTAATATATGAAAGAATAAAAAAAGTAGTATATATTTTTGGCTTTTTGCTGAGATGCTACCCTACATATATTTACCTACACATCTCTATGCTCTTCAACACTGTTTCCTCCTCAGCTCAATATCTTGCTTATTGTATCATTCTTTATCCTTTTCACAGTTTTTCGTGTGTGTGTGTGTGTGTGTGTGTGTGTGTGTGTGTACATGTACCACATTGTATATGTAGATGTCAGAAGACAAAAAATGTGATCTAGTTCTTGAACTCAGGCCCTCAGGCTTGGTGGTGAAGTCCTTTACTTGCCGAACTATCTTGTCAGGCCCCTAGTTTTATTTCTTTCGTTTCATTTTTCTTTTGAGACAGTTGGCTCTCAGTGTAGCCCTGGATGGTCTGTAACTCACTGAAATCTGCCTGCCTTTGCCTCCCAAATATTGGAATTAAAGGCAGGCACCCCCTCTCCTGGATTCCATCCTTTTGTCAATTTTTTAAACAATCTAGTTAAAACTAAAATTGTGATCTTTTTTTTAAATTAAGGCAGAATACCCTCCTGATGGAAATAAGGAAAAGCAGACATCGTCTAAGGGCCATGGGGTTGTCAGAATACTTACAGATACTTCAATGCTGGCAATTTATAAAGATAAGGGTCTTCAACAACTGTCAGAGGGTTTCGGCTGAGAATTCTGAAAATGCAATGGAATTTACATTACAAACATTTCAACAGCTTGAAACTTCTTGAAAAGTCTGGATTAATTTCTTTGGTATGGAATATTAGCATGTTAAAAAGACACCATGTGAAAGGCAGGTGAAACTCTGTGAGTTCGAGGCCAGCCTGGTCTACAGAGCTAGTTCCAGAACAGGCTCCAAAACAATACAGAGAAACCCTGTCTTGAAAAACAAAACAAAACAAAACAAAACAAAACAAAAACAACAACAACAAAAAAAAAAAAAAAAAAAAAAAGAAGAAAGAAAGAAAGAAAGAAAGAAAGACAATAGTATAATTCCCTGGCTTTGGGAAGAAATGGAAGACAGTTAGAGAAGCCACAGTCAGGCTCATGTCCCAACCAGCCTCCATCACATCTAACTTATGTTCTTGGTCAGCACGTACTGAGCAAGCCTGTGCATGTGTCAGTCTGTTTTCTCCTTCCAGGAATCAAACTTCGGTCATCCAGCTTGTGTAGCAAGACTTTTTCCTGATGAGCCATCTCCACACCTAACATAGCCTTTTCCTTTTATTTATGTTTTGACAGCGAGGTTGGAACCTAGGACTTCATACAAGGTGTCATGTGTTCTTTCTGGGCTATAGCCACAGCTCAAGCTCATACAATATATTTTGTTCATATTTTTTTCTTTATGTTTTTGAAGACAGGGTTTCTCTGTGTAGCCCTGGCTGTCCTGGAATTCCCTCTGTAGACCAGGCTGGCCTCGAACTCACAGAGATCTGCCTTTCTTTGCCTCCCAAGTGCCTCATGGGATTAAAGGGAATGTGTCAATACCACAAGGCATTTGACCATGTTCTTTCTAGGAAACTTTTAAAAACTATTTTTTGAGCTGGCCAGTTGGAACAAATGGCAGTTAGCTTGACAACCAAATTTCAGTCCCTGGACCCAGTGTCTTCCACTTACACCATGGGATATGCAAACTACATAAGTAAAGGTTAAAAAGTTGAGATGCAAATTTTAAGAATGTCTGGGTAGTATTAGCTATTGGAGACTCACTGTACAGCTCAGGGTGACCTTGTTCCTCTGATTCCATCTGACGTTATCTACCATGTGCTGGCTTAGAAGTTAACTGTTTAAACCTCATGTGCTCACTTTTGAATGCTTCTGTACGAATTATAGTTTCCTTTTATTCTTTTTCTCTAATCATATCCCGTGATTAACATTTAATTATCCCATTGTCATTGAGACTTTAGAGATTAAAAACCATTTTAACATATTGATGTCAATGAGTGAAGACATCAGAGTTCATCCCTCCATAAAGCAATGAATCAAACTGTGGAAATTTAAGCAAAGGCTTGCCACACTACAGTATTGTTTATTCAAGAAAACCAACTCAATTTCTGTGAGAACACTCAGACTTGTGTTGTTTTAATTTGCCCTACGCCATTCCTCATCTTAGCTCCGTGGTAACCTTAAAAAACACTGGAGGTTGCAGAATGGAGCTGCTGCTCCTGCAAAACCTCAACCCCAGGAAATTGGTGGCCTGTGGTGATGATCTTGTTTGTACTCTAACAAATAGAGCTTGCCTGAAGGTCAGATGGCGGAGCTAGCCACTAGTTAACCATGGAGGTGGAGGTCTGTACAGACAGACAGGATGTGATATGGCTGGGTAGAGACAAGGATATAAAGCAGGAGGAGATAGGAGTTCGCTCTCTTTTCTGATGGGAAGTTGGCAAGGTAAGGCATTGCTCCTTTGTCTCTCTGATCTTTCAGCATTTACCCCTATACCTTACTGAGGTTTTTATTATTAAGACCAATTAGAATTTGTGCAACAGTGGCCCCTAGTGAGACTAGACTTCTGTTTTTGACTTGACTGAGCATTCTCTGGTTCTAGAAACTTCCCCAGAAGATGATTCTGGAAAACAACTGCAGGCAAGTGTTGTAGCTGAGGACAGTGGGACAACAAAGCACCTATGCACTAAGACTGACAGGAGAGCGGAGGAATTTGATGCTCACAGGGACTGTGAGAGGCTCAGACATGAGCCTGGGAAACAGAGACCCCAAGTGGTCTTCTGGGGAAGAGTTATGCACATGTGTGTATGCTTAAGCCTAGGTGAAAAACAACCCAAGAATACCAGAGGGACTTCACCCCTGGCTGATCTTGCAGTTCTGTACAGGTTGAAGGGGAAGCTAAGGCTGCCTCTAAAAGCACCCACACCAGAATCCCAAAGACAGGCGGGAAATGGGTTCCTTAGAAGATGGTGAGAGAAAGAAGCAGAGGGACCCAGACCCTGCTCCAATGTGCATGAAGTGTGTGAGGAAAGGAGAAACCCTTTCTTCTCTTCATCTGCAAGGTCCAGGAGCCTGAAAGCATGCCCCACCCCCATGTGAAGCTCCTCAGTGTAGGATTCTGTGTTACACCAGTAGATCCCAAGGGGAAAAAAAAATGGTGAGCCTGCATCTTAACCACAGTGCAGAGAGAGCCACAGTGCTTAAACTCGTCATAAGATAGCTGTGAAGAATAGGGAAAGGTGGCTTGAACCAGCAGGACCTGGGTTCAAACTCTGGCTCTATACCTTTCTAGTTAAGAGATGTAAATAAGAGAGCCTAAGACCTGAGTTCTTTTAGTAAGCATTTTCCTCATCAAGGAGTCCAGGATTCAAGGTATCTAGAAGCAGGTGGCTCAGCACTAGTGACTTTGTATGTACAATGGGCCAGGGGCAGGAACTCTGGGGATGTCAGATACTAGTGTGCCCAGGAGCTCTGTAAGTATGAATTTCTTAGAGGGAATACAGCTTTCTGCTCCACAGGTCTGGTCTTAGTTAGGGTTTTATTGCTGTGAAGAGATACCATGACCACGGCAATTCTCATAAAGGAAAACATTTAATTGGGTGGCTTATAGTTTCAGAGGTTTAGTCCATTGTCATGGTGGGACTTGGCAGCATGCAGGTAGACATGGTTCTGGGGAAGGAGCTGAGAGCTCTACAACTTCATATATAGGCAATGGGAAGTGAACTAACTCACTGGATGTGGCTTGAGCATATATGGGATCTCAAAGCTCACCTCCACAGTAACACAATTCTTCCAATAAGACCAAACCCACTCCAACAAAGGCACACCTCTTAATAGTGCCACTCCCCTTGGGGGTCATTATTTTTCAAACCACCACAGGTGCTATTAGAAGTAGAAGTCAAGTTCGTGATAACATACAATGCACAAAAAGCTGGGGGAAGCTGCCCAGAAGACACAGTCTCTTGGTAGTTCTGTCACTTGTTAATTATGTGAGCATAGACAAGTTAGCCAATATCTCTTAGTTTCAACTATCAATTACAAAATGTGGATATAATAGTTTCATTGCAAAAGGGTTTGGGGACATGGAAAAAGTGACATGTTTGAGTATGTACTACATGCCCAATATTTTTGTAGGAACTTCATGGCATTATTTCATTTGTTTCAGTATTTCATATAGTGCCTGGAACATAACATCTCATAGCTGGAGGATTCAAAGAATTGTTACAGGCAGAGGGAGAATTACTAGGATTGCAAGAGAAAGTGCCTTCCCACAACAGTGGGAAGAATAGAATGCCACACAGAGAGGAAAGGTATCACAATGTTGGATGTAACCCTCTAAAATCTGCTAGGTGATTACAAATTAAATATCTTGTCTAGATCATCCCAAAGAGTTGCTCTTTTCCTCTTTAATGTTTGTGCCTCTCAATGTGAGAAGCTAGCTGCCAAGATCCTGTGCAAACCAAAAGGAGGACCACGACCTAAAGAGTGCAATTAAAAAAAAAAAACACAATCAATATTTTTAGATTTATTATTTTATGTGTATGAGTATTATGCCTGCATGTATGCATTTGCACCACATATGGAAATCAGAATAGTGCATTTGTGAACCATCATGTGGGTATTGGGAATCAGATTCAGGTTTTCGGCAAGAGCAATACGTGTTTTAACCACTAAACCATCTCTCCAGCTCCAGGAGCAAACTTTTAGACTTGAACATTTTCTATAGGAAGCCAGTGTTAGGGGACTAGAAGGAAGCACTGGGTTATTTTTGGACCCCCGAGTCAATTTTTGGCCATTTACCTTATGGATACTCTTTTTTTAAAAGACATCTCTGGCTGTCCTGGAGCTCACCTCCTTCTGCCTCCCCAGTGCTGGGATTACAGGCATGCACCACTACCATGGATATTATTAATATTGGGTACACACCAGTAAGTATACAACTTGAATTTTCCTTTGGTTGTCTTTCAGGGCTATGCTATTGGTACAGTGTTGATGAGCCATAGACAACTATCATGGGAATGTTCTCTCGCAGTCTGAATGATTGAATGATGTGTAGCTCTTCTGTCTAGTGAAATCCTTTAGGGAGCTTATTATGAACAACAATGAAGTGATTAAGAGAATTTTTGAAAACAAATCACTGGTCTGGACCTGTGTAGGTAAATGAAGGAGAAGCACTTTAAAGTTGGTGTGGAAAATACACTTACCATGTAGATTGTCAACTACTATTCCTTTTTTGTAACATTTTTTTTATATGAAAGAGGCATGATTCCTACTGTCAATAAAACAATGGTACTTAACTAATGAGATTTTGGTGTGTCTTTGACCTGACCTGGGTTTCAGATTCAAGAGCATCTGACCCTGAGGGTATTGCTAACATTTCATCATGTTTGTCACTAATATGGAAGCTGTATCCAAATAGGTACCTGGGAGCAGGGATGAATATGGATGTTGAGATGCCTGACCTTATCCTATCTTGAGAAAGGCCTCTCAAAATAACATGTAGAGTTTATTAATATAGAGCTGCTAAATAAAGCTCCAAGCAGGACTTAGGGCCTAAGCAATAAGAAGCCTTTTGGGTTTAGGCTATGTTGAGCTCTAGACAAACCTACCTCAGTTGGGACCCTTGTACAGACTTTTTCAATGCAGGGAAGACAGAGCTTCAACATACAAACACTACAAGAACTGTGTGCTATATATCACAGAATTCCTGCTCTCTCCTTTAGCAACTTGTCTTTGGAAAGATGCAAGAAGCTTGTGTCCTACCATGGAAAATATTTCCTGAAGAAATCTGCCTCATCTATCACAAAGGGTTGGGTGTTGGATCCTAACAAGAGTCCAAATCCAAGCACACATTTGGTGGGTTGTGTTAATTGTTGTCAAGCTCTTTTTTTCTTTTTAAAATGAGTTCTCATTATCCTGCCTAGGTCAGCCTTGAACTCCTAGACTCAAGACTTCCTCCTGCCTCCGCATTTGAGTAGCACAGCCTGCTGCACTGGGCCAATGTGTGATAGTAACTGAATTCTGAGAGGTACTGTTCCATTCAGATCACATGATGAGAATATCAATATCCAATACCAGTTAGCTCTGCTCTTCCCTTTCTGCAAAGATGGACACAAACTAGAGATGACAAGTCAGGGCCTCCTACATGAGGCCTGCATGAAAAGCAGACTCTCTGCTTCCTGTCCCCAAGTTAGGGGTCAGCAGGCTGTGCTGGAGACAGGAGACTGCTACAAAGAGCACCCACAGACATCCCAACCCTTCCTCCAATGGGAACTGGACTGTGAATCTGGGTCTCTGACCTGTCAGACTACAGTCACCCAAAGTCAGATTAAGAGCAGAAATTTCCTCTTGAGTGCATAATGCCCTCCTGGTTTCTGAACCTCACACAAAGTGGGGTTTTTGCTTTGTCTTGGTTTTGACACAGGAGTCTACTATTAGTCCCAGGCTGCTTCTGATTTATGATCCTCCTGTCTTTGTCTCCTGAGTGCAACTGCTGGCTGGTATTTAGGCTTATGCCACAATGTTTGACAAATACAGAGTTTTAGCTAAAAGCTAATAAAATTCGCTTCTTGGGGAAGAAAAGTATTATATAGAACCAGGCTAGGACAACATATTTTCTTTATGAATATTTTCAGCCATATAGCTTAATGCAGATGCCATCTCATCCCATTTTGCAAAAGTGCCTCCCAACCACAGGTAATCCATGACTCCAGAGGCATATATTTCTTGAAAATCCATGTTCTGGATGATGGATGGGGAGAGAAGTCCCAAGGCAAATTTTCTGCTTTACATTTCTGAGGAAGCACCTAACCCTTTTGCTCCTTGGAGGATTTGGTGTTGATCTTTGCTCTCTGGGAACTAACTGTGCATGGGAGAGGAAATCAGAGTGAAATTCACAAGTGGGTTTCCAAAAGCATCACACATCAGAGCCACAGCCCTGGGGCCCCATGACGAGACCTAGTGAGTGTTACTTGAGTGGTGTCACTTGTAGTGTCTGTGCTGAAGGTCAGGACTAGGAAAGCAGATCATGACCTATAATTTACACAAGTCTCCTGGCCTCCTGTGCTTTAGTTTCCTCATTGGAAGAAAATGATTGGACCTTAAGACAAACTATCCACAGTTCACACAGTGTTTCCACTCGACAAATCAATTCTTCATTGGGTTATTAACACACAAGTAAGTATTTACATGTGCTTAACTTCTATGTCACTTACAACTTCTGTAAAAACTGCATTCCATGCCATGCTTGAAATGTTCCAAAGCTCAGCTCAACGAGTAAATTGCACCCAAGGTTCCTAAAATAATGGAAAAAAAAAAAAAAGACATAAACCAACGAAAAGATACTCTTTAGAACATTTACATTTGTGGTGATTCTAATTTATATAATTAAACATACAGAATACTTTTTCCATTAGCTAAAGAGCTCTCAGGATGATACTGGCTTATGACTTACATTTTCATATTTATATATGTAATACACTAGCCATAGTAAATGCTCAAAAATTTTTAAAGTGATCTTTACTTCTCTGAGAGGGTTTTTAGCACCTCTGACATTTTGGGTTGGACCACTCTGCTGTGTAGGTTTGTTTTACAGATTGTAGGATATTGAGGATCAGCTATGCTGTCTGCCCCCTTGATGGCAGTAGCTTATCCACAATTGCTAAGGATGCACCTTCACTTCGCACGTTCTGGTGCTGTCACTATGCACTCTGACTAAAGGGATTTGGGATAGAATTCTTACGACTTTTTACTTGCCGCAAGTTTTAGTTATTTAAATAATGGATTTCATCCTGACAAAAATAGACAGACCAGTGGAATCGAATCGAAAATCCTGATATTAACTCACACACTTATGGACACCTGCTTTTTAACAAAACAGTTAAAATTATACAATGGAAGGAGGAAAGCATCTTCAACAAATGGTGCTGACACAACTGGGTGATGGTGTGCAGAAGACTGCAGCTAGACAATTTCATATCTCAATCTCACTGTACTTTGTTCTTATCTGTCCCACTACTCTCCACTCTACTCTGCTGGTCTTCTCCCTCCCTGAACAGTCCTACTTTCCTGTCTTGTTTCACACACACACACACACACACACACACACACGCACACGCACACGCACACGTATGCAAGCATGCACACAAGCACGCATGCGATTGATTGCCCATATTTGAGAAAACATGATGTCTTAGCTTTCTTTATCCCATTATCCTCTTTGTTCTCCATCTTTCTAGACTCCCTTCTCAGACCTCATAGTGTTTCTTCTATTTTCAGCATACACATAAAATCTAGGAATGTAGCTCAGTGGCAGACAGAGCACTTGCTTAGCAGGTAACAAGACCCTAGGTTTGTCCCAATAACCAAAATGAGTAAAAATGCAATATTTGCCTTTTTTGAGTCTAACTTATTTCCTCCTAGCAAAGTTGTAAGTCAAATATCAGAAAGTCACAAGTGGGGATTAAAATTAAAAAGGAAGAGGCTATTTGAAACTTACATATACTTCAAAAAAGGTAATGACTCAAATGTCCTTCTTTCAATATAACGTATTTTATTGCAAGATAAATCCCTAGGAAACATAAAAGAGAAATATTGTTTTGCTTAGCTATTAGATATCTAGTTAGTACGATTAGTAGAATTTAGAGTTGGCAATAGAAAATAGATTTTTGTCTAAACTCTAAACCTTTGGATTTGCATATTTTAGAGCCACTTACTTTGTCCATCCATCTCCCAAGAGTTTCATCCTTTATAGTATTCATATACAGAAAATTATAGTTCTTTATAGATTTTTTGAGTTAGTTATTTTGAGAGATCATATAGCTTTCTGTGTTTGAAACAGGGTCTTTCCATGTAGGCTAGGCTGACCTCAAACTCCCAGTTTTCCTGCCTTAGCCTCCTGAGTCCTGGAATCATGGGCATATACCGGGTGCTTGGGACCTCTGTAGATGCAGGTTCTCAGCTGTGCTTCAGACTGCATTGACAAAGGACACAAATCCTTCTGGTGATGTTGCGAGGCTCCTGGCTGTCTGAGAGCACTGCTGCAGTTCCATGGTCGTCACCTTGGTACTTTGCCTTAGCATTTGCCTGAAGGCCTGGCTGTACAGGTGCTTGTGGGCATTCATCTAACTCATGTTTTTACTTTTATCTTCACTCTTGTTTTAAGTGCCTAGCATATTGTCCCCCAAGAGACCTGTATGGGGCTGGTGAGATGTCTTAATGTGTACAGACACCTATGGCTAAGACCAATGACCTGAGTTTGCCCCCCCCCCAGGCCCCTATGGTGGAAGGAGAGAATCAAATCCTGCAAGTTGTCATTTGATTTCCACATTTGTCTCTGGCATTAACTCTCTTCTCTCACCCCTCCCCATATACACACACACTCACAAACATAATAAGGAAGGTTTTTAAAAAGAGGCCTGATGATTTCTAATGATACCCAGTGTTCAGTTGCTTTGGTTACCTGACATGGTAGTGTGTGCCTTTAATCCCAGCACTCAGGAGGCAGGGTGATTTCTGAGTTCAAGACCAGCCTGAACTACATTGTGAGTTCTAGGACAGCCAAAGGAAAACACTGCACTGGTTGTTTCAAGGAACATTTTCTTTGAAACAAACTCAAGTCTTCTCTTGTGTGTCATGTATGTACCAGTTGATTTTTAGAATGTCTCTCAAAAATTAAAAATAAATTACCTAAAGCTGGCAGGGCAGTGGTGGTGCACACCTTTAATTCCAGCACTTGGGAGGCAGAGGCAGGCTGATCTCTGTGAGTTTGAGGCCAGCCTGGTCTACAGAGCTAGTTCCAGGACAGCCAGGGCTACACAGAAAAATCTTGTCTACAAAAACAAAAACAAAAAAACAAAAAACAAACAAAAATGCCAAACACTGTGTCTATTATTGGAGGCATGGCAATTTATACCTCTGTGTCTATATTTACTATGTTTTAATGGTCAGTTTTGCACCTAATTTTTTCTCCTCACAAGTTCCTTGAAAGTGTGACAGTTTCCATTGCCTACCAAGTTTGAGACTGACACAAATATTTAAGCAGTCTGAATTTATAAAGCAAAGAACTTCAGAGGGCGTAAGTGAATAACTATTTTGGAAGGAATTGAGTTTATGGCTTCATGGCTGAGCCTTGCTGTGCATCTCTGCAGCATTATGATTTGAATTTGTGTGTTTGTTCCTTAATCTGAGAGGGAGGGAATCCTTGCTGCTGTGCCTCCAATTATAGGCACAGTAGTTAGCTAAGTTTTAAGCTGAGAGGAATTTAAAAAGTTAATTAATATATACATGCTAACATGAATCAATTGCCTGCTTACAAATATAAATAATAGAAGGACTACTCCATTGAGAAGTTATTTCATTCTTTTTCTCCAAACATATTCATAAGGTTTGAGACTGGTTCAGATGCATAAGATCTCAAAAAGGTCAATTCAAGAGTGGCAATTCAAGAGCCCCCATTTTGGGGGCATGGTTGCACACATCTTTAATCCCAGCACTTTTGAGGCAGAAGCAGGTGGATCTTTGTAAGGTCAGGCCAGTTTGATCTACAAAGCAAGTTCCTGGTCAGCCAGGGCTACACAGTGAGGCCCTGTTTCAAACAAAACAAAAGTAGTATCCTTTAGGGCCTAGAAGGAAGATTTTTAACACCATGAAAGGCTCTTCCCAAGAGCTGTTTACAATATAGAGTATAATCTATTTGCTTAAAGGTGTCACTTTTTGGCTCAGTAAGGATTAAGAGCACTTGCTTATGGGTAAAGGATAGAAACCTATGGGTAAAGGATAGAAACCAAGTTTTCATAACAAATAACAGAGTATATTCTCTAGATTTTTAGGGGGTGTTCATGAATACAGACACCTGCTACCACAAATTATACAGTCAAGTTTCCCAAACTGAGGGAAATTGCACGGGCCAGCACATCCAGAGTGCAGTGGATAAGCTTTGCCCTAGGAAAGCACCTTTGTGATCATGGTATCTCCCTTGCCAGTTAAGTATTGTATTCTTATCTCTAAACAGGCAGAATTACTGTGGCAATTAGTCCCTCTTTGGCAACAAGATTGTCAAAGTTTCTATTGTTCAGTTAGTGAATGGTAGGGGAATTTCTGATATGCTCACTTATAATAAACATATATATATGTTTATTTTATATATATATATATATATATATATATATATAATTTTTTTTGTTTGGGTTTCACTGTGTAGTCCTGGTTGGCCTGGAACTAACTAGGCATACCTCTTAAGCATCATTTCAAAATATCTATTTCTGACATGGGCATAAAATTTTTACATTGAAAGTCTTAATAAGTCTGTTCTCCTAACACGTTTATCATGTTGATATCATTTATGTCATTTGTGTGTTCATCTAATTACTTAGCACTGCAATATTAAATCTAAATCAGATTAATTGTAAGAACAAGTTGGATATAGTAGGCACATGCCTCTAATTCCAGCATTTGGGTTAGAAGACTAAGGTTGGAGGAATGGGGTAAATTCAAGGTCAGGCTAGGCCATATAGTGAGACCCAGGCTCAGAGAAAAATATAGGATATAGCACAGTTGGTAGAGTGTTTTCCCAGCGTACAGGAAACCTTGGGTTTGGCCCCAAGACTACATAAACTGTGTGGTAGTGGATGCCAGCAATCCTAGCACTTGGGGGGTAGAGTCCAAAGAATCAGGTATTCAAGGCGAACCTTTGATTTTTAGTGAATTTAAGGTCAGTCTGGGCTTACATTACGCCATGATTAAAAAAGGAAACAAACAAACCAAAAAGCCCACAAACTGTTAAAACACTCTGGGTTGCCTGGGGGGGGGGGTTTGGCACATACCTTTAATCCCAGCACTTGGGAGGTCCCAGCACTGGGAAGGCAGAGACAAGTAGATCTCTGTGAGGTCAAGGCCAGCCTGGTCTACAGATTGAGTTCCAGGACAGCCAAGACTACACAGAGAAAAATCTTGACTTGAAAAACAAAAACAAACAAACAAAAACTCAAACAAGAAACAACAAAACCCCCAAAACACTCTGGATTAATGACCTTCAAATTAATGAGGATGGCTCTTGTCTTATATGCAACAGTTTGAATAGCGTATTAATTCCTTCTATCCTATCATCCTATCACGTTATCTTTTTTATAAAGATTAGGTTAACAAATATTTTAGACTTCACAGGCAATACATAGTCTCTGTTGCACATTCTTTATTGATTCACTTTTTTTCTTTTTTAGCTCTGTTAATGGTTTGGATATGAAATAGTACCCTCCACCAAAATAAGAAAAGGACCAGATACTGAAGGTTTGGTTCTCAGCTGGGGGTCTTTTGGTTGGTAAGCACTAAGGTCATCCATGTATTAACCTACTGAGGAGTCCCTATCTGAACGTGCTATGAGGAGGTGAGGCCTAATTGGAGGAAACAGGTGAATGGGGGCATGTTTATTACTGGGAATTTCTTCTTCCACTCTTTCTGAAGCTTTGTGCTACTACATCCTTCCATCATGCTCTGCTTCACTACAGGCCCAATAACAATGGAGCCAGCTATCGTAAACAAAAAACCTCTGAACTGAAGGGCCAAAATGAATCCTGCCTCCTTCAAGTTGTTCTCATCAGGCGCTCTCTGTCACATCAACAAACAAGACACTGGCATAAGTCCCCTAAAAGTGTCAACCCACTCCTAATCATGGGCTGTAGTAAATGAGAACATGGATCAGACTTGATCGAGGTATGACAACTAGATTCAAATGCAAGCATATTCTTTAGAAAACAAAGGGTGGAGTGAATTCCAGTAATTGCTCAGCCCTTACTAACATTTTCCCCCTACAAATGGAGTTCTTCTAGCTGAAGTCTCTACATGATTTAAGAAATGTAAAGTGTATAGAGGCATTTTCATGTTAGAGATGGGCTGAGCCCCCACCAGATTGGCTACAGATTTTGCTTTATTATGTTTTTGCCTTTAGAGCCAGCCCCGGAATGGGTATGAACCCCACTATGTAGACCGTGAAGATCTCCAACATAGCAATCTTCCTGTTTTCTATCTCCTCGGTCCTGGGATTATAGCCAAGCACTGTCAAACCCAGTCGATAATTGCACAATTTTATTGCTTGAACAGATGTTGGTATCTAATTCAGATCCCTTGTTCATCTATAGATAACTCATAACTTACAAATAGATATGCTTAACTAACTTACAAAACCTGGAGGGATAGCAGGCCTTCAAATGAGTCCTTATGTAATTCAGTCAGGAGATTTTCACTGAGAATTCTGGAAGATTAAAAGGTTATCTGGATCAAAAATCATCAAACAGATGGAGAACATCCAGTGGTGAAATGGGATGAAGAAATACATGTTTCCATATGCTATTGCCTAGAGAATAAGTTGGTACTATTTATTTTTAGGGCAAATAAAATTGCATCTATACAATGGTCTTCATCCTAGAGATTCCATTTCTAGGTATCTAGTTTACAGAAACTTGTGCATATTCAGAAAGAAGTATATAGGATGTTCATGACATATATATATATATATATATATATATATATATATATATATATATCAGAAGAACCAGATATTCTCTAAACATCAGTAGGGTAATATTAAATTCTCACTGATGTGTACATACTATGAAATATTATGCATGATTGGGAATACATAGAATAACTGTGTTAAAAAGAAACTTTTCATATCATAAAGTGAAAAAATCAAGTTTTGGGATTTATCATATGTGTAAAAAATGATAAATAGGTGTTAAATCTATTTTTCTAAATATGTTTGGAAAGATATATACCAAATTCACAGTAGTGGTTACCTGTCAGTTTTTTTTTTTCAACTTGACACAAACTATGATCATCAGCAAAGAGGGAATTCCAGTTGAGAAAATGTCTCCATTGTGGGCAAGTGGGACATTTTCTTTATTAATCATTGATGTGTGGGGCCCAGCTCACTGTAGGTGGTGCCGTCCCTGGGTAGGTGGTCCTGGGATGTATGAGAAAGCAAACCAACCAAGCCAGGAGGAGCAAAGTAGTAAGCAGTGTCCTTCCATGGGTTCTGCTTCTGTTCCTGCTTCTGGGTTCCTATCTTAAGTCCAAGCCCCGACTTTCTTTCATGAGGAATTACAACTTTAAACTGAAATAAACTCTTTCCCCTCTCAGTTGCTTTTGTTATGGTATATGACTGCTATATCAGAGACCAATTTAAATTGCCATTTTCCCACCCCCCCCCAAAGAAAGTCCATAAAATTTAATTTTTAAAATCAGGGCAGCAAAATAACCTCAATGGAAAGGGAACTTTCTGCCAAGATTGAAAGTTGGTAGAAGACCAAGTTCTGTAAGCTGTTCTCTGATCTACACAAGCATGCACTGGCTCTCGCTCATAAAAAATACATACAAAATATAATGTAAAACAAATCTTTGCTGAACTGACGGTGTTCAAATCGATGGCTTCATTCATGCTAGGCAATTATTCTCCCCCTGAGCTACATCTTGGTCCCCACAAAATCCACAAAATTTACCAGAGAATTTAGTCAATGCAGATTGATTTGGGCTGTGAAGAGGAAACACATTTTCTCAGAGGTATTTACCTCAAAATCTAGATCAAGGAGGATCTTACTGTGTAGTTTTTTTTTTTTTGTGATCATATTTGTAGAAAATATACTCACAGTTTCTCAGTCCACCGGTATGCTCTCCATATATTTTTGTCAATGTAAGAAATAGCATTTCCTTGGAAATTCCTGTGAAGAAACATTTCACATAAGTAGGAAAAGAATAAGCAGAAGCAGTAAAAAAAAAATCATCACAGCTGTGTGGAGGTGTTCAATGAGGAACGAAGGAAACCACCAATCTTCTAATTCCCAGCTTTATCAGTTTCCAAGTGCAAGCAGTGAGACATTTCCTCCAAACTTGAACTTCCAATCTGAGAGTGCACATTCTACTTCTTTCTTTGTTGTGTACTCTACAGGCCCAACTTTATATTTAACAGTCACTCAATCTCACTCCTGTCTTCTCTTTCTCATGGGCCATCATGGCAGAGGATCTCTCTCTCTCCTCTCTCTCTCTCTCTCTCTCTCTCTCTCTCTCTCTCTCAAGTGATCCAAGATATGAGAATGGTAGAATATGTCCATAATCCTAATACTTGAGAGGCCAGGCAGGAGGATGAGAGACTCCAGGCCAGACTATACTACTATTCTGTCTTTATAAAAATAATTCTTATTAAGTTTTCTCTCTTTCCCGGAAACTTCTAATGGCTTTCCCTTTCTCCCTGTGTCACTTTCTAAATCCTATAGTTGATAGATCTTACACAGTATCTTTGCTTGTTTGTAATCTGAATAGTCTAAATCCCCATTATTCTTATAGCCATGTCTTTGCCTAGGCTGTACTCTCTGATTTCACTCTGTTCAACAATAGACACCCTTTGAGCCACAGGTAAAGGTTAAATGCTCCCTTTTTCCAATTTACCATTTTCATGTTCTATACATACATATGTGGCTCTCACAGGTCTTAATCCCAAATTGTATACAAAAAGTTTTATGTCCTAGAACAAAGGTGGGTTCTGAACAGAACAAAAGATTTCATAGTATTAATAGCTAACATTCATGTATTCTAAGAACTAAGATAAGTATCACACGTACTCAACTAGACCTCACAACAGTCTTATGAAATAATAGTTATCATACTCCCTATTTTACAGGTAGGGAATTAAATGACAGCTAAGCACTCTTCCTAGAGTTGCAGAGCTACCACCTAGGTTAAAACCCCAAGAGTCTAGCTCTGGAATCTCCTCTAACCCCTTCATTGCATCAGTGAAATGAGTTATAAAGAGGCTGGAGTGAAAATGGAAAGGCCAAAGTTGAGCAATGATATAATGGGGCTAATTAGAGAAGGGGCACTGTAGTAAGAAGGATGAGGATGAGGAAGACTTTACAAGCAAAGATAAAGAAGAAAGTGTTGGTCAGGGTAACAAAGAACATCCATTAAGGCTTCGAGGAAAAGGCTACCATATCAAGTTGAATGTAAAACAGAAATAAGAAAAGGTTATTCTTACAAAACAGTTAAGGTGCCTTTGTAGGTGTTGGGCCTTAGCACAGGCACTTGGTGAAGTTTCCGCTTTGGGCTCAGATGAATACACAATAGTGTCTCATTTTCACACGAGCAAAAGTCACACAAGTTGGCGCTTGTGGAGGCATTTTTTTTCATTTGGATAATTAACTCTTTTTCTGCATATGGAGTTATGGTAAAATCCATATCCATAGGTTGAAGTGTGACTTCACTTGGGACTTGCTGAATCTGAACCTGTTCTGTAGGTGGAAGTATCACCTTAGGATATGATGGAGTAGTTGTCGGGACTTCAGCCTCTAATGTTTCTGAGTTTGGGGGATGACCTTGATCTTGAACTGATGTTCCAGCTGTTGTCTCATAATGCTCTGTAGACTGAGGTGTAGCTAGAGAAAGGCTGACCCCTGTAGCAGATTGTGGGGTTGTGGAAGATTCTGTCTGTGAAGACTGAGTTGTGACTTCAGTTGGATTTGACTGCTGAGTCTGAACCTGGTTTGAAGGTGTCACCTCATGGTGTGTTGGAGGAGGGGATGTAACTGTTGGGACTGTAGAATGTGTAGTTTCTGTATGAGTAGTTGTTGGGACTGTAGAATGTGTAGTTTCTGGATGAGTACTTGGAACTGTAGAATGTATAGTCTCTTGAGTAGTTGTTGGGACAGTGGAATGTGTAATCTCTGGCTGAATAGTGGTTGGGACTGTGGAATATGTAGCTTCTGGTTGAGTAGTTATTGGAACTTCAGAATATGTAGCTTCTGAGTTTGGATGCTGAGATTGATCATGAACTAGAATTGTCACTTCAACATGTACTGAAGATTGAGCTATAGACTCTGTAGGCTGAACTGGTGCTGAACGTTTAACCATTGTAGCAGGTCGTGGAGTTATGGAAAACTCTGGTTGTGAGGGATGAATTGTGCCTTGAGTTGGGTTTACATGCTGGTCTTCAGGTACTAGGGTCACCTCTTGGTGTTTTGGAGGAATAGCTGTAATATTATATGGGACTACAAGAAGTTCATTCTCTACATTGGATATTGTAGTTAAGGTATGCTCTATTTCTATATGTTGATTGTGTTGAACTGGGACTTCAGAAGGAATTGGATGCTGAGTTTGATCCTGAATTGGTGGTATTTCATAAAATACTGGAGCTTGACCTGCAATCTCCTCATGTGACTGTTCAGGCTCAGGAAGGATTTCCTGTGTGCTTGGAGAAGATTCAACATCCATATGGGAACTTGGAGTTATAGTAAGTTCCATATCCAAAGGTTGAACTGTAACTTCAGTTAGATTTGGATGCTGAATATGAACTTGTTCTGGAAGTGTTGTCTGATGGTACTGTAGAAGAGCAACTGTAGTTGGAGACTCAGTTGGATCCTGACTTGGTGGTGCTGAAGTTGTCACCTCTGGGTTTACTGGGGCTGGAGTGACAACCTCTTTAGTTGGATCTGTGGGTTGAGTTGTAGTCTCCTGCATAGTTTGAGAAAGTTCTCCCTCAGTAGTATATTGTGTAGTTATGGTAAGTTCCAGATACAAAGGTTGAACTGTGACTTCAGTTGAGTTTGGATGCTGAATGGGAACCTGTTCTGGAAGTGTCACCTGAGGGGGCTTTGTAGGAGGAACTGTAGTAGTCTCCTTTGTGGTTGTTGTGGTTGTGGTTGTTGTGGTTGTTGTGGTTGTTGTTGTGGTTGTAGGTGGCTGAGTCTCTCTAGTAGGTTCTGAACTTATGGTGAGTTCTAGGTCCAAAGGCTGAAAGGAAACAACAGGCATTGTTGGATACTCAGCTTGATCCTGATGTGGTGTTGGAACTACCAACTCCTGATATAGTGGGGCTGGAACTACAACTTCTGTAGGTGGTTCTGTAAGATGAGTTGTGCTCTCTGGAATAGTTTGAGGAAGTTCTCCATCAGGAGTAGGTTGTAGAGTTATGGTAAGTTCCAGATCCAAAGGTTGAACCTGAGGATGCATTGGAGGAGGAACTGTAGTCTCCTGTGTGGTTGTAGGTGGTTGAGTCTCTCTAGTAGGCTCTGAACTTATGGTGAATTCCAGATCCAAAGGCTGATATGAGACAACAGACATTGTTGGATACTCAACTTGATCCTGATGTGATGTTGGAATTGCCACCTGTTGATATATTGGCACTGGAGCTACAACTTCTGTAGGTGGTTCTGTACTCTGGGTTGTGGTCTCTGGCACAATTTGAGGAAGTTCTTCCTCAGGAGTAGGTTGTGGTGTTATGGTAAGTTCTAGATCAAAAGATTGAACTGTAACTTCACTTGGGTTTGGATGCTGGATGGGAACTTGTTGTGGTAGTGTCATCTGAGGGGGCTTTGGAGGGGGAATGATAGTTTCCTTTGGGGTTGTAAAATGGTAAACCTCTCTGGTAGGCTCTGAACTTATAGTGAATTCTAGGTCCAAAGACTGGAATGTGACAACTTGTTCTTGATGTGGTGTTGGAACTGTCACTTCCTGATATATTGGGGCTGGAGTTACAACTTCTGTAAGTGGTTCTGTAAGATGAGTTGTGCTTTCTGGTGTAGTTTGAGGAAGTTCTTCTGGAGTCGGTTGATGAGTTATGGTAAGTTCCAGATCCAAAGGCTTTGGAGGAGGAACTGTAGTTTCCTTTGTGGTTGTAGGTGGCTGAGTCTCTCTTGTAGGTTCTGAACTTATGGTGAGTTCTAGGTCCAAAGGCTGAAATGAGGCAACAGGCATTGTTTGATACTCAGCTTGATACTGACCTGGTGTTGGAACTACCACCTCCTGATATAGCGGGGCTGGAGTTACAACTTCTGTAAGTGGTTCTGTCAGATGAGTTGTGATCTCTTGTGTAGTTTGAGGAAGTTCCTCAGGAGTTGGTTGATGAGTTATGGTAAGTTCCAGATCCAAAGGCTTTGGAGGAGGAACTGTAGTTTCCTGTGTGGTTGTAGGAGGTTGAGTCTCTCTAGTAGGTTCTGAACTTATGGTGAATTCTAGATCCAAAGGCTGAAATGAGACAACAGGCATTGTTTGATACTCAGCTTGATACTGACCTGGTGTTGGAATTCTTACCTCTTGATATATTGGGGATGGAGCTACAAGTTCTGTAGGTGGTTCTGTAGGATGAGTTGTGGTCTCTGGAATAGTTTGAGGAAGTTCTCCCTCAGGAGTAGGTTGTGGAGTTATGGTAAGTTCCAGATCCAAAGATTGAACTGTGAATTCTGTTGGGTGGGGATCCTTTGGAGGAGGAACTGTAGTAGTCTCCTGTGTGGGTGTAGGTGGCTGAGTCTCTCTAGTAGGCTCTGAACTTATGGTGAGTTCCAGGTCCAAAGACTGAAATGAGGCAACAGGCATTGTTGAATATTCAGTTTGATCCTGATGTGGTGTTGGAACTGTCACCTCTTGATATAGTGAGGCAGGAGTTACAATTTCTGTAGGTGGTTCTGTAAGATGAGTTGTGCTCTCTGATGTAGTTTGAGGAAGTTCCTCAGGAGTCGGTTGATGAGTTATGGTAAGTTCCAGATCCAAAGATTGAACATGAGGGGGCTTTGGAGGAGGAACTGTAGTTTTCTGTGTGGTTGTAGGAGGTTGAGTCTCTCTAGTAGGCTCTGAACCTATGGTGAGTTCTAGGTTCAAAGGTTGAAATGAAATAACAGATGCTGTTGGATACTCAGCTTGATCCTGACCTAGTGTAGGAACTTTCACCTCCTGATATATGGGGACTGGAGCTACAATTTCTGTAAGTGGTTCTGTCAGATGAGTTGTGCTCTCTGGTGTAGTTTGAGGAAGTTCCTCAGGAGTTGGTTGATGAGTTATAGTAAGTTCTAGATCCAAAGGTTGAACTGTACCTCCAGTTGGGTTTTGATGTTGAGTCTGATGTGGAGATGTCACCTGGAAATGTGTTGGAGGAGGTGTAGTCTTCTTTGGTACTGGAGCATATTGTGAAGTTATGGTGAGTTCCTGGTCCAAAGTCTGATATGAGATAATGGCTGATGTTGAATACTCAGCTTGAATCTGACCTGGTGTTAGAACTACCATCTGATGTGTTTGAGGGTGAGTTACAATATTGTTCATTGACTCTGGAAGCTGGTGTTGGACTACTTGCTGGGTTAGAGAAAGCTCTATCTCCTTAAGGTGTTCTGAAGCCTCTGTGGGGGTGGGCTGTAGCACTGGAGATGGTTCCACACTCTCAGGTTGAGAGCGGGTCATATGCTGAGCTAGAGAAGGTTCTGCACCCATAGTGGAATCTGGAGGTAGATATGGGCCTTCCTGATGAGTTGGAAAAGGATAGACCTCTTTGTGGAGGCCTTTTTTCTGAGCTTTGGCCTCTTGCTGAGAATATTCAGTTTCAGGGAATTCTGGTGGATGGGAAAGGGACTCAATTTGGATTTGTGAAAATTTAATTTGTTCACTGGGAGTTACAGGCTGAACCAGGTCCTCCTCCTGAACCTGAAGAGATTCAACGTCCATAGACTCTGGAGATTTGGTATGTGCTCGGTTTAGATGTTTAACTGTGGTTTTATGCAACATTGAATGCTCATATCTGAATATTGCTTCTAAATCTTCAGGTGAAAAGAACAGGGTATCTCCCAGTGGAGGAATTAAGAAATCCTCTTGAAGTGGTTCTAGAGGTTGATCTGGGAGTTCTTGCTGATATGGTGAAAATTCTGTACCCAAAGGGTGCTTTAGGGGTGGAGACAAGTTCTCCTGCTGACCTGAAGAAACTTCCCCTGTAAGCTCTACAGGCTGGGTTGGGACCCCTGGGTGAACTGGAGAATGAATTTCAGGGGGAGTTGGATGCTGAGTTAAAAATTCTTCTTGCTGGTCTTTTGAAGGTTCAAATTCATGTTGGATTGAAGTTTCAACCTCATTAAAGAACTCTGGAGGCTTTGCTGTGATGGTGTGTGATGCTGGAGGATGAACTTGACTATGAACCAGGTCGGAACCTGTTGCCTCATGGTGTGCTGGAGGCTCAACTACTGTTTCATGAGGGTGCTCTAGAGATTGCAGTTGGGTCTCCTGCTGGGCTGAAGAAGGTTTGACTTCCTCTAGGAGCTCTGAATTCTCATCTGTGTCCTCCTGCTGGCTCAGAGAAGGCTTTTCATACTGAACAGATTCTAGAGATTGAACTGGAGCCTCATGTTGATTTGATAAGAGTTCAACCCCTTCAGAAGGCTCTGGAGTTACAGTTGGATTGGCATACTGGGTTGTAGAAGTGCCTACATCATTTTCTGGGACTTTAATTGGTTTAGCTATTACTTCATGATGCACTGGAGGAGGTCCCAGTTCCTGTGTTATGGTAAGCTGCACATCGGGAGGTTTAACTGTCTTAGTGGATAAGCTTGAATAGTGAGTTTGATGGTGAGTTGAGGGTGAAACTGTTACTTCATGATGTTCTGAAGACTGAGTTAGTTGTTCTTGGTGGATTAGAGCATGTTCTGAAGATTGAGTTGGCATTTCCAGCTCAGAAGGCTGAGCTGGCTGTTCTTGCTCACTGAGGAGAGGTGCCTCCACTCCAGTATACTCTGGATGATGTATCGGGGACTCCTGCTGGGCCAGAGCAGATTCCATCTCCTTGGTAGGCTCTGAAGTTATGGTAAGTGCCACATCCACAGGTCTAACTGTAACATGTGTCAAGTGATAATGGTGCTCTTTATTCTGAGTTGGCTGGACTGTCACTAGGTGAGTTGGTGGAGTTTCAAGTATATTCTCAATAGCAGATTGTGCAGCATGAAGTGGGGCCGCTTGTTCAATTGGGGGCGAGCCTTGTTCGGGGAGCTCTGCAGGTGTAACTAAGGCTTCTGGCTGGTTTCCAGGACCTAATCCTACCTCCTCATGAGACTCAGAAGTTTGAGCTGGCTGCTCTAGTTCGACAGAAGACTCATCCTCCAGAAGAGGGCCTGGATGTTGTGATGGGACATCCTGCTGGATTGAAGAAGGCTCCTCTTCCTCTTCCTCTTCCTCTTCCTCTTCCTCTGATTCCTCCAGAGGTTGAATTTGGGATTCCAGACTACTTTCAGATGATTCATCCTTCCCGGGAGTTTCATCAAGTTCAGCTGGCTGCTGCTCCAGGCTAGGAAAATGTTCAGCTTGCACAAGAGGACCTGGAGTTTGAGTTGAAGTCTCCTGAACTGGAGACATCTCAATCTCCTTAAAAGGTTCAGAAGTTATTGTAAGTTCCACATCCACAGGTTTGACCGTAATTGTGGGCAAAGCATAATGGTGAACTTGATCCTGACTGGGACGTGGAGTTGTTGCTGCTGGAGTTTCAATTAAATTCTGTATGGAGGATTCTGGAGTTGGAACTGTGGCCTCTTGCTCAACTGGAGCATTGACTTCATAGGGCTTTGTAGGTAGAGCCAGAACTTCTAGCTGGCTACCAGAAGTTTCAAGGTCTTCAGGAATCTCTAAAATCTCTGCTGGAGCCTCTTGTTGGGTTGATGAAGGTTCCAGCTCCTCAGAGAGCTCTGGAGTTGGAGCTAAGGACCCTTGCTGGTGTGATGAAGGTTCCAACTCTGCAGAGAGCTCTGGGTTTGGAGCTGCAGTCTCTTGTTGGGTTAACGAAGGTTCTAACTCCTCAGAGAGCTCTGAAGTTGGGGCTGCAGACTCTTGTTGGGTTAATGCTACCTCCTCAGAACCCTCTGAAAGCTGGACTGGGACCTCTTGGACTAATGAAGGTCCTACCTCCTCTGAAAGATGGCCCTGGGCCTGCTGCTGGCTCAAAGTATGTTGTGTGTCCTTATCTGCTTCTGAACTCACTGTAACCTCCATATCCATAGGATTCACTGTGACATTTGGCAAGTTTGAGTGCTGGGCTTCATTTCTATCTGGAGATGGAACATTTATTTCAGGCTGCTCTACTACTGCAGCCCCCTCATGAGCGAACTGATGAGCCCCCTTCTGTTCTTCTTCCTCAGAGAGCAGTGGGAGATGATCTGGGCCTTCTTGGACCAAACCAAGATTCTCTAAATTTTGAGATTGTACCTCCAGTTGGTATTCAGGAGGTTCAACCTGCTCAGAAGGTACTGGTGGCTCCTTTCTGTTTCCCTGGGATTGCAGAGGTAAGCTGTCAGAATAAGTTTCATTTATACTTGTATCCTCATAATCATCCTCCATATTTTCTTCCTGGAGTTCAGGTTTTGCAAATTGGTTTGTAGTTCCGGCAACCACCTTAGCGAGTTTCCTGTGCTGAGCTAGACCTTTCTTCAAGTTCTGGGGCGAAGCTATGAACTTTGTCACTTTCAAACTCTCACTATCTTGCGGTGGAACAAGTATTTCATATAACTGATTATCTGCAGCCTCATCCAGACTGGAAATACTTTTGAACTGTGGAGACTGATTTTGATCCCCATTTAGCTTTAAAATGTTCTCTGGCAGCTTCCCAGGTGGAGTCATTTTGTAGATCGGATGCTGATTTGGAACAGTGAACTGGGCTGACTCTGGGTGCGGCTGCGTAGAGGTATCCGTATCTTGGAATGAAAGAAAACTGTCCGTCAACTCCCGGGGTGGGGAGAACATCTGGGAGGGAGCAGAGGACCCCAGGTAATCAAAGCCCCCTGCTCCTGCCTGGGATTTATGAGTTTGTGGGGATTTGGGCGGATGATCAGAGGGGTGCCAAGACCAGAGCTTGGTCGGCACCCAAGGCTCTGAAGTTAACTGAATTGGGTTCTGACCGAACTCAGAAAGGGCATCCATTGCCTGGTTCAGGACCAGCAAAACTTGTCCGATGAGGAGAAGTCCTGGGGTGACGAAGTGAAAGTCCAGAGATGTCATGACATGCATTAAGGACATGGCATACAATATCGAGGTGATCCACAGTGCTGCAGTTCGCGATCCACAGTGCCGCAGTGCACTGGCGGGGGATAAACTGGAGAAAAGGCCCCTGACCTCATCAGGGAGCCTTGGCAACTGTGGCCACCTTGCCCTGCCCTTTGTGACAGGATTCCTTTGTTACCAAAGCGTGACTAAGTGGATTCTGCACCTGAAGAGAACCTTCTACGTGACAGGGTCCAAGTTTCCCTTACTCAGGCTGAAAAGAACACCGATTTCTTCTGGGTCTTACCCTAACCCGGATTTAGGCCTCAGTCCTGGGTGGTCCTTACCCAGCAGCCCTTTGTTTTTGTGGGGCGGAGCTTCAATAGAAAGTATCCAGGCAGGGCGGGGCGTGGACTCAAAAGTGCCTGCCCAGGGCCAGGCTCTTTAACTCCTCTTTTTCAATCACAAACAATCCCAAGTTATAAACATTAAAATAGCCTGAAAGCTTGTTGGTGCTTTGGAAAAGTAAATTTGTAGGTATGTTCAAAATATGTCCTTCCCACCCCAAAGCAAGACATTTAAGACCCTTTTCAAGTATACACCGATATGTTTTCATGTTAGTTAAATGGTATATTTCTCAGGAAGAACACATGTCTAGCCATTATGCTACTGATTCAAATATTCTAAATTTTGCTTCAAAAGAAGTGGAGTTACTATGTAAAGGATTTTTGTGTGTGGTTATAGTAATCAGGGAGGTTGGGGATAAAGCCAGGGTCCTCATGAGTGTGAGTTTTTCTTAACTTAGGTGACCATTAACTCGGGAGCAAGGGTCCCAGACAGTCAATGGTAACCAAAGTTACTACAGGTCAGTGGTTTCTGGATCCAGCAAAGTCGATGGATGAATTTCATGGGCAACAGGAAGATAGATTTTTTTGGAAAAGACTTTATCATAGATTCATAGGGGAGAGCTTAAGATATAAGAAGCCACTTGAATACATTTGTGCACACACAAAGAGATGCATACACAAATGAATACATCTTGAAAACTGAGGAAAAAATATAGGAAGAAAGCTGGGCTCCTGCAAGAGCAGGTCTCAAAGATGGTTCATCTTTGTTAACCCTCTCTAGGGGTTAACAAAACTTGACCAGATTGAGGCATGAGCTGCTTAGTCTAGGTGTCCCACCCAGGAAATACCCACGTGCCTTTCCATTCAGACAGTCTGTGACTAGATTGGAATTTAGGTCATGCCCTCATACATAGTTTCTAGGGAGTTATGCTCAGTGCGGTCTATAATGAGAGGAAACATAACAAGAAGCTGTGACCTGTGTTCCTAAGGGATTTTAGCATTTCTGGCTTCTGACCAAGACAAGAATTCAGAATTTTTGAGTTTTGAGGTCTTTGCCTCTCAGCTGCTTGATTGTTTATTTTCTCTTGTTTTCATCAATGCTAATTGTTGTCAGATTTTTTTTTTTTTTTTTTTTTTTGGTAAGTGTATTAGATAAGCCTTCTAAGATGCAAAGCTCTGGAAAACTCTTAACCAAGCTGGTAGCCATCCAAGGGGAATTGTTAGTTTGTTAATGTTTGTGTTTATGGTTTGTATTTGTGCGCTCCTAAGTGTACCACTGCAATTCTCTTTAAAGATAATTAGACTGCCCTAACATAGTGCACTCCAAAGGTTACTTCCTCACAAAAGATATTTGACATTGATCATTTAAGGGGCATATCTCTAAACAAGTACTTAATTTTCAAATTAGTTTCTTCATAAATATTTGTTCTTAGAGCCAGGTGTGGTGGTGCACATTGTTAATTCCAGCTCTCCAGAGGTAGAGGCAGGCCAACCAGAGTGGAGTAAGACACTCTTAGCTGCTTAAAATTGGCCATAAAGGATTTTGTTAATAGTATTTCTCAACGTTTGTTACTCTACCAATGGTGGAAAAGTATCAGACTAGCCATGACAGATCTCCTTCAGGTAATGAGGGACAGTTGAAATCAAATCACTGGGTGGATAACCAGTGATGTCTTCAGAGAATGTTTAGAGAAGAGTGTAAGGAGTAAGGTTTTTCCGCCCGCCACTGGTCTTGTCCTGCCGCCGTGCCAGCCCCAATTAACACACACAGGCTCTGTATTTGATATTATGCTGTCGGCCAGTTACTTGTTTCTTATCGGCTAGCTCTGTCTTAATTATTAACCCATTTCTATGTATTTCCACGTGGTCTTACCAGCGAGAGGCGGCTGGCGGTTCTGCCTTCTCCTGACTCTCCATCTTGACTCCTCCTTAATACTTCCTCTTTCCTTCTTGTCTCCTAGCCCCTCCTATCTTCCTTTCCCATTGGCCAACAGTGCTTTATTCATTAACCAGTATGAGAAACATATATAGAATGACATCTCCCATCAGAGGAGTGTGGTAGAATATTATTCTAAGGTGTGTGACTTTTGTTTATGTTGCATTCACTCAGTGAAGCTGTGATTTTTTTTGCCTGTCTAAAACACCTGATGGTCTAATAAGATGAATGGCCAATATCGAGGCAGGAGCAAGAACAGGTGGGGCTGGCAGGCAGTACAAATGGAAGAAGAAACAAGGAATGTGACATACCAACATGGGCCTGTATTTCCATGTAGGGACTGAGAAAGCTGGAAAAAAAAAGACAACAGCTCTTTTAAGAGAGGCTGCTGTTCAGCCAGCAGCACTAAACAGAAACTAGAAACAGCAAGTTAAGTAAAAACCACTTGCAGCAATGCTGGTACCTGCTTCCATAGCTAGAAAGGTTTAATGCAGTTCTTGGTCACGAACCTCCTCCTCCTAGGCTATGAGCTCTAGGCTTGGCTTTCACAACCCAACTAGAGAGCAGGCAGAGCCAGCCTACGTAGCACAAGGAGGACTGATTTTAGCTTAGCTTTCTAAAGTTTGCTCAGTCAAAATAGGCTAGAGATATGCAGTAAAAGAGATCCAGATGGAAAAACATCTAAATGTGTTTTTGTGTGTTTTACAGTGTGCATATGCAAAAGAAAGAAAGGAAGGAAGGAAGGAAGGAAGAGAAAAAGAAAGAGGTACAGAGAGTCAAAGAAAAAATATAGGTCTTTAAAAAGAGAGTAAAAGTAATATAAAAGAAAAAAGCCAAAGAGTAAAACCAAACACAACAAAGGAGAGCACTTCCAGAACAGAAACAAATGTCACACACTGAATAGTGGCCCTTGTTCATAACTGTAGTACCTGAGAGGTGAGGCATGAAGATTATGAGTTTGAGGTTAGGCCTGGACTATACTGTTTAGTAAGGCTCTGTCTCAAAGCAAAAACTGAGTCACTTTTGAAATAAAGTCCTTTTTTTTCTTTTTATTTTATTATTTTATTTTATTTTATTTATTTTATTTAATGAAATAAAGTCCTTCTAAAAGTAACTAAAACCAAGAAGTTGTGAAGAAATAGTTCTTACTCATGGTAACTGAGTATTTTCTGACCTGGGATCCTGCCCAAATTCTGTTTATGATAATTGTTTCCGACACAGGTATGGTTCACTTCAATATTGGGATGTAAAGACAAAGAATATGGAATTGTGGCCTTCCTCTAGGAGGACTATATTCTAAAAAGACACTTGTGCCCCTCCTTTTGATTAATAGACTATTGAAACAATGGACCACAAGAAATTGGGATCTCCCTCCACACACTCACCAAATCTCAGATTGGGAGGAGGAAAAGATTGAGGCAATGTTGGATTAATGGCGGTCATGACCTGGACTGATCGATTATACATACCTCTTCCTCTCTAAAAATGAATCCATGTCAGGGCTCTAAAGATGGACTCTGGGACCACTGGACCTGTTGATCTGTTCTTCTTCCTAATGTGGCCACACTGAAAGAATCTCCTTCCTCTGACTTTCACTATTATGTCTCTGTCTTTTTAAGACAAATGTGTTTAATTTTATGTATATGTGTATGGGTATACACATGTATACTGTGTGCATACAGGTGCCCACAGAGGACAGAAGAGGGTGTTGTATCCCCTGAACTGAGTTACAGCAAGTTGTAAAATACCCTATATGGATGTTGGAAACCAAACCAAACCCTGTCCTCTGCAAAAGCAACACATGCTCTTAACTGCTGAGCCATTTCTCTCCCCAACCTTCCAATTGGCATATTCATGATGAGTAGCTGAGTTTGTTAGAACAGCCAGGGCCTGGGCTTTGATCCTAAAACTTCCAATAACACCCATATTGGCAAAGCAGGGATTATATGCCAGGAAACTGCATACAAACTAACTTACCACAAGACCCCTCCACCACAACCATTCTCTCCCAAACCACTGTCTTCATGTTGTGGTTGTTGTTATTGCTTAGCCTACTGACCCTCTGCAGCATACTCAACAAGCCCGATCTCTTTTTATTACGGTCTAAAGAATGAAGGTATTCATTCCTGGCCGACAGTTCCTTCCTTTCTACCATGTCTCAAATTTAAATTGCTTCTCATTAATAAGACTGGTTATTCAAGGTTGCTGTCTCAACTTATCCTAAAGCAAGAGTAATTATCAGGGTTGGTGATGAGCCCTAGGTTCAGTTCTTAGTTAACAGACAGACAGACAGACAGACAGACAGACAGACACACACACACACACACACACACACACACACACACACACAGACCCAAACTGGCTTGGGTCTAAAAAGAATTTATAAGAGTGAAGCATTCTAAAGTTTATGCAGTGATGGGGTTTTCTTGAGGAACAACAACAAAGGTTTGTCAGATAAATTATTGGTGGTCTGCATTTATTTCATTCTGTTATATATTTGAATTTATTTTTAAATTCATAAAATTATTTTGCTTTTTTATGATTAAGTTTTGACATAAAGTTTTTTTTATTATATTGGCTTATCAATATGCTACCATTAGACATGTCATATGACATGTTTACATAATAAAATCTCCCCCAAAAGGGTTTAATTTAAATTCATTTCTAAGAAAGTGCACACATAACCTCAGTCCAAATGCCTTTTAACTCAGTAGGACTTAAATAAATCTAATAAATTAATTTTAATTTGTTGGTAAGATTAAAATGCCTCTAGAACTGTTAACACATTTTAAAAATGTTCTAATTTTACATTTGTTTATTTATATATGTGACTTTGCACACACACACGCATACAACTGTCAGGAAATAACTTGTGGGAGTCAGTTCTCTC